GCTCACCATGGCATTGTCTTTAACAACAAAGTTTCCAGAATCTAAGAGCTGTGCGATAGGACTTTCTGCCACTTTGGTTGTATTTGAAGACCAAATAACACTATTCGCTTGGTTGGAAAGAACTAGTCCAGTTTTGGTAACAGTTAGAAAACCATGTGAACCAGTGATCGGGTTGTTTCTGTTTGCAACCCAAGTAACCGTCTCTGGGGTTTGCTTGTACCATATCCCCAAGTACCTGTTCTTGGAATTGCCAGGAGAAAAGAAGCCTAGCTCAAAGCTTCCGCCTGAGGAGACTAAAGTCTCACCATCACTCATGGACTGTGTTTCAAGTAAGGTATCTAAAGCAATGGAAAAACGAAAGATTTCTGAAAGAGAAATCAAGGCACAAAAGAAGTGGAAGAATTGATGAGCCTGCATTAAAATTTCCAGTGGGAAGAAGTTAGCAAATGATCACATTCTTGGGAATAATGCAACCCAATGTTTGATTGTGAAGTGGTTATACCATAAGCAAAAAATTAATAAATGTCCAAAGTTCATAAAGAAATTGGCAAAGGGCTTTTATGATTAAACAAATATAACTTTCATTTTGTCATTTAATCCACCAAAAATAAAAAAATCTGAAAAAAAGATTCTTAAGAAGTAAACTTGCGCAAACTAAAGTGACTTTTAAGTCCAACAAGTCATGGAGGAGGATTCTATTAAATATTTTTTTGTAGAAAAAAATTTTCGATATGAGAGTGTACATATGTCATTTTTAACACGAATAAAGATTTATATTTGAAATAACCTTAATGAAAAGTTATGAGCTCATAGATTGGGATAACTCTTTGATTTCGTAAACTATCCTTTATTTGAAATATTTTTTCTTTTCTTCATGGGATTAGCATTGAAAATGTTTGCAGTAGTTAAATAATATTTGGTTAAATTTTGGCATGATTAGACTATTTTCAAGCCCTGAAAGAAAACATCAACAGTCAAATTTATACAGAGCAGGAAAGTCTCACCACAAGAAGCTGCTAAATTGCTTTGACTTCCATCATGTTATTGCTCTTATAACTCTTCTTACAAGTCATCCAAAACGCAAAGTTTTCAATTGGGTCATCCTGATTACCTTCCTAAAGCCACACATTCAGATTAACTTGTATCATTCATCTGGTTTACGTGGTGGAGAATTCATCTGATTGAATGGCCTCATTTTACTTGCTTAGTAAGTTTTGGACTTCCATAATAGAATACTCCATTGAAATGGCAGCATGCTCAAACAAAATAGCTTACTCTTGTATTCTTAAACCGAGACATGATACGATTATATTACCTTATAGTAATACGAAGTCATCTATTTATCCTCCCTGTAAAAAAATCTCTCAATCAAAGTCATATGGATAATTTTACGAGTCATATTCGTATAAATAAATTATTACAATACAATCTAAAATCTATAAAATATATAAATTAAATAAAATAAAAATTTGAATATCGATTACACATAATAAAAGTCTCAATGTATAAATAGACTATTACAACCCATTTAAAGTATTAAAGATAATAAATTAAATAAAATAAAACTTAAATATCGATTACGCAATAATTATGATTCTAAATTTTATGGAATTGAGTTTGGAAAGGTTAGTTTATGAAACTAACTAGCTTGGTACAGGGCATCCATGTTGTGGTAGTGAAATTTTGATCTTGTTGAGTAAGATTTAATTGTGATTCTAATGTATGAACTTAATGAAATTATCCAATATTTGAATGGTTGAAATTATAATAATCCATCCCATACAAAACCTTTTGAGAGTGTCACGTGGTTTTACTTTAAAAGGTTGATAAACTAGAGCTAGTTGGGCTCGGGTCTTTGCACTGATAATTGATGGTTTCTTTGACATAAATGCTAAAATATAATCAATAAATTGTGCAACAAGGTATAATATTTTTTTCAAGAAAAAATTACTGCTCAATTTCTATCTTCCTCCCACCATTGTAATAGTCACTACATTTACAGTATCGGATTCTTCCTTTCTTGTTGGTGTGTTTGCTTTGGAATTTGTATCTGTGAAGAATCCTGGCTCTTTAGGATGAGGCAACATTGCTTCTTCATTTGCCAACATAAAATTTACAGATGACATCGTTGGCCTGTCTTTGGGGAAATTTTGAACACATAATAATCCCACTTGAATACATCTAAGAACTTGAGATTCTACAATAGAATCCTCCAAACAGGCATCTACCAGCTCCATGGCCCTGCCTGCATTCCACAGCAACCATGCCTAGAATAATAGTCATGAGATAAGCTGCAATGAAAGGGAACAAAAAGGCTACAAAATCATTCAGTATACTCACATGGCCCGATAGGCTATGGTGGTGATCAGGATGATGGAAACTTCTATTCTTTTGGCCGCTTATTATCTCTAGTAGCAGTACACCAAAGCTGAAAACATCAGACTTGGCTGAAAATTTACCATTAATTGTATACTCTGGAGACATATATCCACTGCATGGAAATATCAGGAGTAAGTCCTTTGGATTAATGCAAAAGGGCTATGATTACAAATGATTGAACTCACAATGTTCCAATAACTCTCTTAGTTTCTGATATTTTGTCATCCCCTTCAAAAGTTCTTGCCAAGCCAAAGTCTGAAATTTTGGGGTTCATATCACTATCTAGCAGAATATTGCTAGCTTTGAGATCTCTGTGAATAATTTGCAGCTTAGAGTCTTGGTGTAGATACAGAAGTCCTCTCACTATCTGCATGATAATGTCAAAGCGCTTCTGCCATGCCAATAATACTCTCCTGTCATGATCTGCACACCATCTCCATGACTTTAAATTAGGCCTTTCCAACCCTATTTGTGCATATTGTACTTGAGATTGAATAATCAAAGATTATGTAATGATAGCATGCATGAAAGGTCAAGAAATCAGACCAAAGATAAAATAATCCAAGCTTTTGTTGGGCATATATTCATAGATTAAAAGCCTTTCTTCTCCCTGTATGCAGCTGCCATAGAGCCCGACCAGATTTCTGTGCTGAAGTTTGGCAATTAAAACTACTTCATTCCTAAACTCTTCAGCTCCTTGTCCTGAATTCTTTGACAGCCTCTTTACAGCAATTTCTTTTCCTGTCGGAAGGATGCCCTGCAAGTTGCTTATACAGAATTTACAACTTACAACTCTTGGATTTTAAGATGCAAAAACTCGTTGAAACTTTTCTGCCCATTGGATGGCAAGAAGTAATGAGTCTTACCTTGTAAACAGGTCCAAATCCCCCAATTCCTATTAAATTTTCCTGGGAGAAACCATTGGTAGCAGTAGCAATGGAAACCAAATCAAACAAAGGCGCTTCTACATTCTCGTTGCAGCTCTCTTTGCCTATTCTGACACTTTAGCCTCTAAGAATAAACGTATTTGAAAATTAGTGATGATGGTTCGGTAATGTATTGTGCATTTTTCTTACCTCCTTTCCATGTTTTCTTCGTAATGTCGGAGAACCGAGCACCCAAGATAGTCATGCCAGGAATGACTGAAAGCAGTTTGGTGGTCCTTGTTCTTTTCTTGTCATTTAAGGCATAGCCAGATACTGAAACTGACAAATGTCCAAGAAAATCATTTGTTTTTCTGGTTGAAATTTTGAATAAAAGAAAATCATAAAACAAAAGAGCAAAGTCAAACACATATGCTTACCTCTTTTCCATTTTTTCCTTAGGACAAAGCAGGACACCAAGCCCAACACAATCATTCCAGAAATGATTGAAACTACTATGATGATCTTTACTAGTTTCTTTTCATTTGAAGCACCAACTGATCCTGAAAGAGATAACATCAAGTTAAGCCGATAATTTTCTTAAACTAAATGAACCTTTTCAATTTTTTTTTCAACAATACTAATGGGTAACATAGGAACCTTTGCCAAAGCATTCTTTAGGCCTAAGACCTTTATTAAAGAAAGTTCTTTCCTTTATACTGAGTAACAAGTCAGCGTTTATTTTAGTTTCCACCAGTAACTGTGGCAGGGCAATAGTCCGATGTAAATTTTCCAACGTGATGTGCTTTTTGGGGTTTATCAAGCTGATTCAACTTATTTGTTTCCATGATAAGGCAAATGATTAGAGTTCATGTTGCAGGCACAAGTTTATTGTCAGGACCAAGGCTGTTTGCAGATGAAATTATCAACAAAACAATGTGAAAACAAATTTCAAAAAAAATTGAAAACAATGATGAACATTATAGTTCTCATAGTTTACTTACCTAATTCTGAAGATGGTACTCTTACATAGATATCCGGTCCCCTTTCTTTTCCTGATCGGTCTTCCATATCAATCAGGTCACCATACCACATCAAGCAGCCCTTCTCACGTCCATCTAAGATTGCGCTTGCATAAGCACTACAAGAGCAGTTTTGCAAGCACTCCACCTCACATTCCTTAAGATTCATACTCTCATTGAACTTGAAATCTATCAAGTCAGGCAATTTCATCCAAGCAAGTCTTAGAAACCCTTCTCCAATTTGACAATCTGATGGCCGCCTTTTTACACATCTTGTAGACCGACTATGATTACTTGCATCCAGTCCTTCTGAGTCAGGTCTGAACCCTTTCAGGCACTCACAGATTGGTGTCTTGTTGATGCTGCAAAATCCATTTGCACCACATTGCCCATATTGGCCGCATTGGTCATATGGTGATAAGGTGACATCATCCCATTCAGTGCGCCTCGCATTCCATATAACACGCTGCATGGAACCTGACTGGTTTAAGGTGAATCGCATAATAATTGGGTTGTTGTAAGGCTCATACCTATAGTAGATCTCATCCTCACTATGCACCATAGTTGCTACGGAGACCAAGTTGGGAGACACCGGAGTACCACCAAAGTAAGATCCACTCCATAGTCCACTACGGAACACTTTTGCTGATCCCATGTAAATAACTAAAGAAGGCAAGCCTTGAATGCTAAGTCTGGTAGTAAAGTTTCCAGGAGAAGGATCATCAGCACTTCTCCAGGATGTTAAAAACCATTCTTTTCCCGTTTTTAAGTTCTTTCCAAGCTTCATGCCTGGCAACAGTGTGTCTGACGGGTAATCAAAGCTCTGCCACAGATAGCTTTCATCATGTTGCATGGTTTTGTTGTCTTTAACAACAAAGTTTCCAGAATCTAGGAGTTGTGCCACTGGAACTTCTGCTTTTCTAGAGACATTTGAAGACCAAACAGTGCTGTTCGTTCCGTCAAGCAGTACAAGGTTTCCATCATTATTGATTGTTAAAACTCCATGTGCACTAGCAATTGACCTGTTCCGATTTGCAACCCACACAACTGCCTTTGGAATATTTTTGTACCATATCCCAAGGAACCTGAACGTTGAGTTTCCTGGAGAGAAGAATCCCAATTCAAAGCGTTTGGATGAAGAAACCAACCTCTCACCATCACTGACAGATTGTGCCAGACTTATCATGTCAGCTGCAAATGAATACTCCACGATTGATAAAACCATCAAAATGAAAAAGAAGATGCTTGCCAGAGATCCCTTCATTTAACTAGTAAGATGAAACGGTAGCCAAATGCTGCCTTCTATAGGTATTTTCAGTATTGAACACAGAAGAAAAACAGGCCTGCCAAGGTTGACTTGCCAGGATTTGAAATAGCGTGGAAGGTCATTTTATGCCACTTGATCATTTGAATATACTTATGAAAAGAAAACTAAAAATAAAAAACATTTAACTGTCAAAATTTGTATTTGACAACACTGTATACAATAGGATTTCAATGAAAGGAAAATCTCATAGTCGTCATGAGAGATCGACCTACCAAACAAGCTTTTCTTGCTACTTAAGAAAACAAAAAAACAGAAGAATCAATAAATTAATGAGTACTATTTTGCAAACAAAGTCCATCTTCATCCGTATATTTGGTTCTGGGTTAATCAAAGAGATTTTACTAGTTGTCCACCATTCCATATAAGTTTTTATCCCAATTCTATGTAATGATTTTGAACAACAAATTTAATGAAAACAAAGAGAGATAATAAACTAGTGCCAAGGTCCCTCTTCGGTGAAAGGGGTCTTAGAGAAAGACCTAATTTGCACCATACTTTCCATTCCATCCTACCAATGTAGAAAAAGGGTAAATTAATTTGGCAAAATTAGCACCATTATTTATACCTTCATCACAATTTAATAGTTTTAGTATGTTTCAAATTCAATCTTTCTTTTCAATGGTTTGTACAAACAAAATAATTCCAAGATGAAAGGAAGCTTTGTTGTGTAGCAGTCTGCTGAAGGAAAGATCTAAAATGACAGGCCTGATCGAATAGTCAAATGCCAATGAAAAGGAATTAAAATGTCTTCTTTCTTTTTTGTCTTCAAGGAAGCAGCAAAACAATGTCATTTTCATAATTGTTTCTGCAATGGTCCATGATATATGTCATAGTTGACCTTAAGCTCCTAAAAATTTCGGCCTATCACGCCTGTTCATAGTTTCAATTGGACCGCATGGTGATGACAATGAAGTATTATACAACAACCTGATTAATTCTCAACCTGATACCTTTGTTTCACATGTTGGTGGATGAATCAATCTGCCTCCTTTTTTGTTCCAAGGAGGATGAACTTCGTTGCTGACTCAATTTGGTTGTTGCTCTTGCCCCTTCCTCAAATTTTCAGTGATCAGAAAGATTGGCCACTAATAGTTAGGTACTAGATGATGTTGTCGATGATGATGATGCCTGTTTTAACATGGCAAACTACAGGTCTAGGTTTATCAATGAAAAAGCTGGGGTTGGGGAAATGGAGGAAATGGAGAATAAATGCTATATTTCATTGCATCATGCGGTTGATTTCAACTTCTGCTTATGATTTGATTTTCATATATCCCAAAATGATTTAAACAAAAGGGTATTAGTGAAATGATTGCCTTTTCCATTTCCATGGTGCAGACAGCTGCTGAGAGATTATGGAAATAAATTGAAGATACTTCCTCCAACAATGGATCAATCATGTGATAATAACAGGAAATAGGAATAATAAGTACAATCCATTTATCAACCGATTGAACAAAAGCAACATGTGATGTGAACACAAACTAGTTCACTTCATAATGTAATACAGAACAAATTTCAAACAGTTAGTAATGAGATGAGAATATATGTGAAGAATAAAAACAACATTAAATCAGTTAAAGACACAGAAGCATTTGAAACTGAAAATCAAAGAAAGAACAATAGCAGTGCAGAACAACTATAAACTCTTTTTTTTTTTTCTGTTTTTTGCTCTGTCAAAAATGGAATTTCATTAATGAACTGTAGAAATACAATGGTGAATTAGCCACATGGCAACCCATTACAGCAAAACACCTGAAAAAGGCTGGGAAAGCACCTGGATAGCAGATGGCTGTGCCATATATGACTAGAGAAATAAAATCACTAGCCCATCATAACAGGTCGGCCTACACAACAGAGAACAATAATACCAGAAACAGAACAGCAGCAGTTACAATAAATAAGCAGCGCCTAGAATATCAACCAAGACAAAAACTCAGTGATGCCGCTACCACCATGCTGAAAACATTGAATCTTTATCAACATCATCCTAAAAAAGCATAATCGGGCAATGGTTAAACAGGGTCCTCTTTAAACTCTTCCGTCATGAGTGTACCAAGTCCCCTGCACTAAATTAAATCTGCCATGAATGATCACTATTTCTAGGGATAAAAGGACTTATCCCAAATAACAACAATGCCCCCTGATTTGCCATATGCTGCACTAAAAGTCCGATCGAGATTGGAATAGTAACAAATACGGTCAACAACGTTGCCAACATTATCATGTCATAATTGAAGCTTTTCCCTCATTAAATTACTTTCATTCAGAATGGGTTTTTTTACAGCATACTTACTGCAATGATGATGACATAAGCTTACCAAATACACTAACTAGAACTTTGCAAACAATCTGGAAAAGTTCAAAATTACATTACTGACCCATTAACAACGTTGTTTTAGCATAAAAATCAGTAAAACTAAGCTGCTATGCATTGAATGTTAGCACAGAAACATAGCAGAAAACAGAGAAGCAAAAACAGTAATGAAAAGAAAGAAGAATGTGTTGTAAAAAGGCTAACCACGCCTATCTTTCATTGATTCATTGATATACATATATATGTGTGTGTGTAGATATATATATATATATATATATATGTATGTATGTATGCATGACACATAGATTCAAAGTCAAGTTTGCAAGCTGCAATACACAACCAACCACCAATACAATCATGGCCATAGATTACTGACATTAACTAAAACACTAAAAAAACTGTATAGTTACAAAACAGTGAAGTATGGGCTGCATAGCAGAAGACTTGACTTGGTTAGTCTTCAAAGCAAGTCTTAATTCAACAAACACTAATAAAAAACACAAAAGTATTGTAAGGCAAGTTGACACTTGCATCACGTGCGGTGGACACAAACGCTACTTACACAACATTGCAATCATGCAGACATATGCTCCAAGATGTTAAGTTACAAAAGAAATAAAGCAAAAAACAATTATGCTTCTATTTGTGACCTGTTGTTGCATCAGTGAAGTATTCAAGCTTCCTGTTGCAGAGTCTTCAAGGAAAGTCTTAGTTTCAACACTCCTCCTTGAGATCTGTTTTGAAGACACCCAATTTGGATCTTAATGATTCAAACTTGTCCTTGAAAGCCTCTTGGTCATAATATCAGTATTCTGAGCTTCTATGCAGCAGTATTGGACATTAATCTCCTTGTTCCTTTTTGCTTAAGGCATGATATTTAACCCTGATTTACATGGTTCTTGGTTCTATCATGTTGAATAGGGTTCTTGGTGATGACAATTGCCAATTGATTATCCAGCCACAAAACAGTAGGTTCAGCTTGAAGGAACCCCAAGTCATTTAGAATTTTGTTAACCAGAGTGCATGATTAGCAGTGGAAGCAGCTAAAATATACTCAGCTTCAGTTAATGATCGAGCTACTACTTCCTGTTTTCTAGTGTTCCAAGCAAAGACGTCAATTTCAAATGAAAATACATAACTAGAGGTGCTCTTTGAATCATCTGGGCGCCTAGCCCAATCACTATCAACATATCCTTCAAGACTACCACTTTCTTGTTTGCAATATTGCACCCCACAGTCAAAAGTTCCTTTAACATACCTTCTTGGCAGCTGCAAAGTGAGTAATTGAAGGGGTTTGCATGAAACTCGAGAAGAAGCTTGTGGGAAATATGATGTCAGGTCTGGCGGCAGCCAAACAAATTAAGCTTCCCTATGTTAAGCTAACAAGGAAGTGGAAAATCAAAAGTTTTAAGTCAAGGAAAGTGTTCATAAAAAACCCATCAATGTTTGAAGTCAATAGTTGTCCAAACTCAACTGAAGACATAAAAACCCCAATCGAGTACATTAGCACCTGACATGAATCTTCCAGACAAGAAATCACTAGTCTTTGTTCCACAATAACCTTTCCAAACTCATTTGCACAAACTTTGGTTAGTTTTACACTTTTTTGGATTTGGCTTTACATTTGTCAGCATGGAGGTAGGTACAAAGCTGCAACATAGCCTAAACAAAGGGAGGAAAATTGAAAGCAAACTTCTTAGAAATTTCTATCTTCCTCTCACCATCGTAATGGTCACTACATTCACAGTATGCAATTCTTCCTTTCTTGCTGATGTGTTTGCTTTGAAACTTGTATCTGTAAAGAATCCTGGCTCTTTAGGATGAGGCAACATTGTTTCTTCATTTGCCAACATAAAATTTACAGATGACATCGTTGGCCTGTCTTTGGGCAAATTTTGAACACACAATAATCCCACTTGAATACATCTAAGAACTTGAGATTCAACAAAAGAATCATCCAAACACACATCTACCAGCTCCATGGCCCTGCCTTCGTTCCACAGCAACCATGCCTAGAATGATGGTCATTAGAAAAGTTGCAAAGAAAGGGAACGAAAAAGCTACAAAAATCATTTATACTTACATGGCCAGCTAGGCTATGGTGGTGATCAGGATGATGGAAACTTCTATTCTTCTGGCCACTTATTATCTCTAAAAGAAGTACACCAAAGCTGAAAACATCCGACTTGGCTGAAAATTTACCATTAACTGCATACTCTGGAGACATATATTCACTGCATGGAAATCTCAGGAGTAAGTCCTTCGGAATGCTAAAAGGCGATGATTACAAATGATTGAACTTACATTGTTCCAATAACTCTGTTAGTTTCTGATACTTTGTCATCCCCTTCAAAAGTTCTTGCCAAGCCAAAGTCTGAAATTTTAGGGTTCATATCACTATCTAGCAAGATATTGCTAGCTTTGAGATCTCTGTGAATAATTTGGAGCTTAGAGTCTTGGTGTAGATACAGAAGTCCTCTCACAATCTGCATGATAATGTCAAAGCGCTTCTGCCATGCCAATAATACTCTCCTCTCATGATCTGCACACCATGAATTCAAATTAGGGCTTTCCAACGCTATTTAAGCTTATTGTACTTGAGATTGAGTAATCAAATATTAAGTAATGATAGGAAGCGTGAAAGGTCAAGAAATCAGACCGAAGATAAAATAATCCAAGCTTTTGTTGGGCATATATTCATAGATTAAAAGCCTTTCTTCTCCCTGTATGCAGCTGCCATAGAGCCCGACCAGATTTCTGTGCTGAAGTTTGGCAATTAAATCTACTTCATTCCTAAACTCTTCAGCACCTTGTCCTGAGTTCTTTGACAGCCTCTTTACAGCAATTTCTTTTCCTGTCGGAAGGATGCCCTGCAAGTTGCTTATACAGAATTTACAACTTACAACTCTTGGATTTTAAGATGCAAAAACTCGCAGAAACTTTCCTGCCCATTGTATGGCAAGAAGTACCGAGTCTTACCTTGTAAACAGGACCAAATCCCCCAATTCCTATTAAATTTTCCTGAGAGAAATTATTGGTAGCAGTGGCAATGGAAGCCAAATCAAACAAAGGCACCTCTACGTTCTCGTTGCAGCTTTCTTGGCCTATTCTGACACTTTAGCCTCTAAGAACAAATGTATTTGAAAAATGGTGATGATTATCCTGTAATGTAAGGTGCATTTTGCTTACCTCTTTTCCATATTTTCTTCGTAATGTAGCAGAACAGAGCAACCAAGATAATCATGCCAGGAATGACAGAAAGCAGTATGGTGATCTTTGTTCTTTTCTTGTCATTTGAAGTATAGGCTGATACTGAAACTGACAAATGTCCAAGAAAATCATGTCTTTCTAGTTGAAATTTTGAATAAAAGAAATCATAAAACAAATCAGCAAAGTCAAACACATATGCTGACCTTTTTTCCATTTTTTCCTTGGGACAAAGCAGAACACCAAGCCCAACAAAATCGTTCCAGAAATGATTGAAACTACTATGATAATCTTTACACGTTTCTTGTCATTTGAAGCAGCAACTGATCCTGAAAGAAATAACATCAAGTCCAGACAATCATTTTCATTTTTCTTTTTTTTTTTCAAAAAGGATAATGGGTGACAGAGGAACCTATGCTAAAGCATTCTTTAGGCCTAACACCTTTATTGAAGAATTTCTTCTTCTTTTTTTCCCTTTATACAGAGCAATGACACAGCGTTTCTTTTAGTTTCCACCAATATTGTGGCAGGGCAATAGTCTGATCTAAATTTTCCAATGCGATGCGCTTTTGTGGGTTTATCAAGTTGATTTAATTTATTTCTTTCTACAATTAAGCAAATGATTAGAGTTGATGATGCAGACAGATACTTATTTATCAGGACCAAGGCTGTTTGCAGATGAAATATGCAACAAAACAATGTGAAAACAACTTTCAAAAAAAAAATGTGAAAACAATGATGAACATTATAGTTTTCATAGTTCACTTACCTAGTTCTGAAGATGGTACTCTCACATAGATATCCGGTCCCCTGGTTTGTTCTGATTGGTCTTTCATATCAATCAGGTCACCATACCACATCAGGCAGCCCTTCTCTTGTTCATCTATGTTTGCGCTTGCATAAGCACTACAAGTGCAGTTTTGCAAGCACTCCACCTCACATTCTTTAAGATTCATACTCTCATTGAACTTGAAATCTATCAAGTCAGGCAATTTCACCCAAACAAGCCTTAGAAACCCTTCTCCTTTCTGGCAATCTGATGGCTGCCTTTTCACACACCTTTTAAACCAATTATGGTTACTTGCATCCAGTCCTTCTGAGTCAGGTCTGAACCCTTTCAGGCACTCACAAATTGGTGTGTTGTTGATGCGGCAAATACCATTTGCACCACATAGGCCATATTGGTCGCATTGGTCATGTGGTGCTGAGTAGACAGTCCCCCATTCAGTGTGCCTCCCATTCCATATAACACGCTGCATGGAACCTGAGTGGTTTATAAGTAATCGTGTAATAATCGGATTGTTGTAAGGCTGATACGTATAGTAGATCTCATCCTCACGATGCCCACAGTTGCTAAAAGAGCCAAGTTAGGAGACACTGGAGTACCACCAAAGTTAGATCCATCCCATAGTCCACTACGGAACACTTTTGCTGATCCCATGTAAATAACTAAAGAAGGCAAGCCTTGAATGCAAGTCTGGTAGTAAAGTTTCCGGGAGACGGATCATCTGCACTTCTCCAAGATGTTAAAAACCATTCTTTTCCAGTTTTTAAGTTGTTTCCAAGCTTCATGTCTGGCAGCAGTGTATCTGATGGGTAATCAAAGCTCTGCCACGATAGCTTTCATCATGTTGCATGGTTTTGTTGTCTCAACAAACAAAGTTTCCAGAAATCTAGGAGTTGTGCCACTAGGAACTTCTGCTTTTCTAGAGACATTTGAAGACCAAACTGTGCTGTTTATTCCGTCAAGGAGTACAAGGTTCCCATCATTATTGATTGTTAAAACTCCATGTGCACCAGCAATTGACCTGTTCCTATTTGCAACCCACACAACTTCCTCTGGAATGTTTTTGTACCATATCCCAAGGAACTTGAAGTTTGGGTTTCCTGGAGAGAAGAATCCTAATTCAAAGCTTTGGGATGAAGAAACCAATGTCTCCCCATCTCTAATTGATCGTCCCAGGCTTATCATGTCAGCTGCAAATGAGAACCCCATGATTGATGAAAACATCAAAATGTGGAAGAAAGTGCTAGTCGATGTTATCATATTAGCTGCAAATGAGAACTCCATATTGATTAATCATCAAAATGGAAAAGAAAATGCTTGCCAGAGATCTCTTCATTTAACTATTTAAATGAAACGGTAGCCGATTACTGCCTTCTATAGGTATGTTAAGTATTGAACACATAAGAACAACAGTGCTGTCAAGGTTGACTTGCAAGAACTAGAAATAGAGTGGAAGGTCATTTTATCCCACTTGCCCATGTGAATTTACATGTCATAGGAAAACTAAAAGTAAAAAAATTACTTGTCAGAATTTATATTTGACAAAACTGAATATAATAAATTTCAATAAGAAGAAAATCTCATAGACCTCATGAAAGATTGACCTACCAATAATTAAGAACATAAAAAAAAAAAAAGCAAAACAATCAATAAATTAAGGGTGCAAACAAAGTCCATCTTCATCCATATTTGGTTCTGGGTTAATCAAAGAGATTTTATCTCAGTTCTATGTAATGATTTTGAACAACGTATTTAATGAAAAGAAAGAAAGATGATAAACAATAAGTGTCAAGGTGCCTATTTAGGTAAAATAGGGTCTCAGAGAAAGACCTAATTTGCATCATACTTTCCATTTCCAGCCTACCAATGTAGAAAAAATTTAAATTAATTTGGCAAAATTAGCACCATTATTTACAACTTCATCCCTATTCTCTTCATCACAATTTAATATTTTTAGAATTTTTTTTTTAAATTCGATCTTTCCTTTTCCATGGTTTACACAAACGAAATAATTCCAAGATGAAAGGAAGCTTCGTTGTGTAGCAGTCTGCGTAAGGCAATGCCTATAACGATAGACCTGATCGAATCATCAAATGTCAATGAAAAGATATTAAAATGTCTTCTTTTTTTGTTTGTGTTCAAAGAAGCAGCAAAACAATGTCATTTTCATAATTGTTTCTGCAATGGTCCATGATATATGACATAGTTGACCTTAAACTCCAAAAACTTCGGTCTATCACGCCTGTTCATAGTTTCCATTGTGAAGACGACAGGATGATGAAAATGAAGTATTACAAAAACCTGATTGATTAGCAACTTGATACCTTTGTTTTGTAAGTGCATGCCCTAGAACCAATTGGTTAGGCAAGGGATGCATATTGAAATATGCATGAAACTTCAAAAGTTTTGTGATTGTTAAAATTTGTATAATAATTTAAGTACATTATTACTAGCAATTTGAACTTAAATTTTTAAAAATCAACTTAAAGAGTTATAAGGTCAGTACTTGAACTTGAGGCATTATAAGATTTCACTACATCAAGTAAGTTTGGATACTTGGATATTGATGCTGTTTAAACCTTGAAAAGTCGCACATCAAAACACACACTATAAATATTCCTAACCAATGTATTATTGAGATAAAACATCAATAATGCTTCAAGGCCGATACATGTGTTATGCATCTCACTATAAACAGGCAATATCTCATACGATTGATAATATATGGAGACTCACAACAAATATGTGGGTGGGCTATAATAGTTTCTAGGTTTTGTTTGGGTTTGATTTCAGAAGTGCAGTGGGCTTAGAACTCAGGTCCAATACTTAAGCCTGTTGATTAAACAGATTCCTTGAAATTAATTAAGGCAAAAATGGATCGAAAACCAAAAGCAACATGATTAAGCAAATAAACAGGAGCTATTTCTCGCACCTGGCAGAGGCCAGCAGTGCAAGAATTTCCCGGCTTTATTTACAATCCATGGAGTAAAATAGGAATTAATGGAGGAATTCAGTTGAAGATATTTTCTTGACATGTTACTGTTTCAGGATCAGCCTATAATTTAAATTAAATACTGTCTGCATATAATTTAAAGTTGGTGCAAGAGATATTTTTTGTGCTTCAGATTGAATTCCATACCGAAATTACTGACGGGTGCAAGCGACAAGGACGAAGGTCATCTTGATGCCAAAAAAGTCATGGAGAGGACAACAAAATATCTCTGTCAAACATTCATAGTACAAGTTTAGTCTTCCTTTCAGTGTTTACACTGGTAATCAAGGTATTCAGTTTCTAACAACTGCATGGAAAGTGTTCATAGGTATCAAACTATTGCAAGGAACCTCATTTTCTTTTCAGACCTCTCGGATTTCTTCCTCAACTACAGCATTCCAGAAATCCATATAATTGTTCTTGATCTGATGTCTTGAGCAGATAGAAACATGATGAGCAGCAGTGAGTTTGCTTCCCTTTCTCGCTTGTTAGTTTTTTGGTGCCTCGCATTACAGTGTATCAATGGTACTGACACGCTAGAACAGGGCCAATCGATTACATTCTCGAAGACCCTTAAATTAGCCGGTAAGAAATTTGAACTTGGATTCTTTTCTCCCAGAAACAGTTCGAGGTATTAGGTTGGAATATGGTTTAAACAAGTGTCAACACGTGCTGTGGTTTGGGTGGCAAATAAAGAATATCCCTTCCTACGAAACTCTTCTATTTTCGCCATCAACCCTGATAGGAACATTGTGATTTCTGATGGAAGGATATCCTACATGCTGACGAACAGGACAACCAGTGGCAACACCTATGCCAGGCTACTAGCTTCAGGTAACCTGATATTACAAGATCAGGTCAGCTTAGAAATTTTGTGGCAAAGTTTTGATTATCCATCAGACACTTTTTTGCATGGAATGAATCTTGGAAACGATAGAAGATATGGAGTTACTTGGTCGGTGGTGTCATGGAAATACGTAGGCGATCCTGCCCCTGCTTCTTTCTCTTCGGAACTCGTTTCTGATAAATTTAATGATTCTTTAATTATTATGCAGGTTTCTAAAATATACTGGGAAATTCCTTTAAACAACTTTCTTAGGTATAATGCCTACGGTTGGTTCCGATGTGGTCCCAACACCGTCACTGGGGTTTGCGTGATTCTTCTAGGATTATGCAGATAGTGTTGGACGTGTTTGTGTTGAAAAATGATAATTTAACATGAAGAACTAGACAGCTTTTGTGCAAGTCAAGCTTGAAAACATTCAAAATGAAGAAGGCCACTTTTGATCACGTGATTTTTTTAATTTATGCAGTTACTATTTTAATATTGTGATGTGTTAGTTTTATTCCGTTTTTGCAATTTGTGTTTTGTTCTTTAATAGGGTAGTTTCTAATAGCTTTGCAGGCAACTAAGTACTAGACTTGAAAAGTGTTAATTTTTACGGTTGTCTCTCTTATATTTATATAAATATTTTTTATTTAATGGAAAGTGTGTGGCTTTGCATGGCTTCATGCAATTCTTCTCCAAGCTCACGTATGTTGGCTTCCATTAACTCATTATTTTTGTTTAATGAGTTAACTCACTGAGTTCATAAACTCTTTGATTTTCTTTCACAGTTTGGGCAGCTTAAGTTACAAACTTGGTCCGAAGATGATGAACGTTGGTATAATTTAGAATTTTAGAATTTTCCTGAAGATAGACTAACATTGTCAATCTGTAAATTTTATCTTGATAAAGAAATGAATTTTGCCTCATTCTCAGGTTTCTTCACAGGAAAAAGTTCCAGGATAGAAATAGCTTCATGGAAGGAAGAGTTACCTAAAGTAAATGTAGTTACTATACCAATGCTGGGAGGCAGATAGAAATTCCTGAAATAGTTCACTTCTGTTTTCATTTTTTTTCTTTCATAATTCAGTAATTTCCTTGGAGAGTTGATATGTTTGTGAAAGTTAAGCTTGACCAATTAAGCTTATTAGTTATTACTACCAATCCTGTAGATTTTTTGAGCAGGCTAGAAGCTAATCTGTAAATTTTCATTTTGTCTCTGAATCAATTAATAAAAATATGGCTAATTAAGAGCAACCCTTGAGATTCAGCTTCTTTGCTGAACTTGTCTTTCTTTCTAACTTCACCCAAGCTTCATGTATAACAAAAGCAATGATAATCAATTAAAAGTTCATAATCCCTGTTACTACTTTATAATAGTTCAGGCATTGGAAATTCTGAACAGGCGTGGAAGACCGGTATAAGTCAGTGCGTAGAGCTACTTTATAAGTAGTGTTGAGTTCCATTGGATTGTGGCTTGAACATATAATCTCTTAAAATAACTTTATATTGACTAAATTTAGGATACTTTGGAGACTTAAATATAAAAGACCATAATTATGCTCTGGAAAAAACTCGGATATTGGATATATTCTGTTGTTGCATTAACCTTTAATGCATGTGCACTCTATAATTGGTCAATTACAGGAGACAAAAGAGGAAAAATAATAAAATGTGAGGAAAGAAACTGACATTGACCAATTTCTGATAAATGCAGCTAGCAATGAACGATATGAGGTGTTAAAGCATCAAAGTCAGTCAATGACAATACCCATAGAGAGTAGAAACTTGACCATTTCCAGTCTAAAACGACTGCTGACCACAATGATTCAAGTACTCCGAATAAAATATTACTAATTATTATATCTAAGTGGTAACATTTACTTGTAGGAAGGTACCTTCCAATTTCTGAATACAACTATGCTACGTCTCCAAAAACAAGTGTAGCAAGGAATACTATGAACCACTCATAAATTTTGAGATTCTTTTGCAAGATGTAAGGTGCTTGGAAATGGATTAGATATGGTTTTCTGTTTTCTGCTAGCTAACTGATATCTAAAGTTATCAGGAAAAAGAGCAAGCTCTATGGCTCGTTCATCCTGATGCAATATGCTTTAAGACATTCTTTTCTCCAAATTCATTCCACACAAAAAGAAAAAAAAGAAAGTGCTTCGAAATTATTATGATGTAACTACATTGTGAACGAAATAATTGGTGTTGATTTTTGTATACAATGGGCCCTCTTCTTTATCATATCATTGTGGAGATATTGAAGTGTAAGATTAGAGGTCAGTCTCTGTAAGCAAATATACTTTTTGGTTGCCTCATTTTCGTGGAACTTTCTAAGTATTTTAATATCTGACTGGCTAATCTTTATCTGATCAATGCATCAATTCGATAACCAAACAATAACACCAACTCCTTCTGCTGCTGAATAAATTAGGTATTATTTTTTTCTTTGGGTTTACCAGAATCAATCGCTGCCTTTCTGCTTCATTTATGTCCTGAAATTCTACGAGGCATTGCGTAGAAGTTGGGTTTCTGCTCCGGGTAATTCTCCTCACAGTCCTTTCCTTAGTATGTATTTACATTACAGGATCTGTTCCTTTAATACATGTTTGTTTGGACAATATTTCTAACTAGTCCGCTATGTCAAATAAGTAGTTAATTCAGACAAAAGTTTTGTTTCCCAGGTTTTATTATAATGATATGTTTTTGTCTTCCTGGAAGGTTGACGTGGAATGGTTTCAGTAACAAATTATTAACTGCAGACTAGTGCCGTTCCGGAAAAAATCAGTCAGCAGAATTATAATTGCTCATGGCTAGAAAAAATATTTCAACAAGCCAATTCGTTTATCCTGTTTTCCTGCTGATATTGTCTAGCCATATCCTCAGATTCCCTCGTGCTGCAATGGACACCATCTCACCGGGACAATACATCAGAAACCCTCAAACTGTTGTATCTGCTGATCAAAAGTTTGAACTAGGATTTTTTAACCTTGGGAATTCTTCGAGTTATTATTTGGGAATATGGTATAAAGAGATCCGGGAGCAAACTTTTGTATGGGTGGCAAACAGAGATTACGCGGTCATTGCTTCTGCAAATCTCACAATCAATAACGATGGCAACCTTGTGATTCGGCAAGGCAAGGTTGTTTTCCTAGTGACAGACATATCATCTAATGGAAATGTGACTGCTACACTATTAGATTCAGGAAACCTTGTTGTGAGAGATGAAAATAACAATACCTTATGGCAGAGCTTCGACTTCCCTACAGATACTATCCTGCCAGGAATGAAGCTTGGTTATGATAAGGGGGCTGGAAAATATTGGTCGTATGTGTCTTGGAAAAGTACTGATGATCCAAGTCTTGGAAATTTTTTCTTGTACTTGGATCATGGTTTACTACGTCGAATTCTTATCACGAATGGTTTAAGAACATATTGGACTGGTGATGGGATTGGAGATAATAACATGTACAATTTCACCTATGTCTCTAATGGGAGCATGGACTATATCGCATATGATGTGCATGACATAAATGTAAAGAGCAGATTTGTAATGGATATATCAGGACAGTTTAAACAATTTATATGGTTGGAAAGAACAAAGAAATGGAAAAGCATCTGGGCACAACCACGAAACCAATGTGACGTTTATTCTTATTGTGGGCCTTTTGGAAGCTGCAATGAGAGGTCTGCGCCTTTTTGCAGTTGTTTGCAAGGATTTGAACCTGACTCTATCAAGAATTGGAATAGTTTGGGCTTTTCTGGAGGATGCAAACGGAGAAACGCTCTGCAATGTGTCAATAATACCACATCAAAGGGTGCAGGAGATAGATTTATTCCGCTGTCTAAAGTAGCACCACCTAGTAATCCAATAGCTCTTGATGTTCAGAGCATTGATGATTGCAAGTCATATTGCTTGAATAACTGCTCCTGCAGTGCTTATTCTTATACCCAGCAAGGCTGCTCAATATGGATTAGAGATCTTATCAATCTAAAAGTACTGTCACTTGATCAGATTTCTGGAAAAGATATTTATCTCAAACTGGCTGCTGCTGAATTCAGCACCGGAAGTAAGATAGTTAACCTGTCTTGCACAAAATTTTTCAGACCTCCTTTTTAACCATATTCTGTGTCTACTAATGTGCTGATTAAGTTTATACTTTTTGAGATAAATGCAGAAAAAAAGAGGATGCTGAGAATTATTTTAATTCTAACCACTTCTCTGGCATTTCTTACTGCTGCCCTGCTAATTTGGAGGTTGTGGAAGAAAAATCACAAGAAAAAGGGTATGAATTCCCCATTGGAAAGAAAAAAAAAATCCAATCATAAGCACCCCCTGTCAATAGAAATGTTAACATTTTCTTATCTGCAGTATTCTTAAAGAGTTGGTAGATTGTTCTGCACAAAGAATAGAGTGATAAATTGTTGGTATGTCACTTGTTGTTGATAATGTGCATGAGCCATCTAGTTCTTATGTAGTCAAACCTGATTAAGTTCACAATATAACAGTTGAGTAAAAAATAGCTTGTTTTGTTGTATATGTATGCTCAAATTCCTCATCTGTTCTTCACTAAGCAGGGAAGGACTTGTTATCATTTGATTTTAGTATTAGCACATCAGCTACCAATTATGAACAGACTGAGGTAAAAAGGCTCAGGGAAGATAAAAATGAGGTGGAGATTCCATTATTCAGTTTTTCTAGCGTATCAGCTGCTACAAATAACTTTTGTACCGATAATAAACTTGGAGAGGGTGGATTCGGACCTGTATACAAGGTAACAGTTAAAGAAGAAAATTTCAAATTCACATACATGCTTTAGAAGTTAGTTTCTCTTATTTCTATGAGAAATATGAATACTAGAGTTCTGCTTCAGGGAAAATTACTTAAAGGGCATGAAGTAGCTGCAAAGAGGCTTTCTAGAAGATCTGGACAAGGATGGGATGAGTTAAAAAATGAGGCAATGCTCATAGCCAAACTCCAACACAAAAATCTCGTGAAGCTTCTTGGCTGCTGCATTGAGGGAGATGAGAAGATTCTCATCTATGAGTATTTGCCCAATAAGAGCTTGGACTTCTTTCTCTTTGGTAACTTCCTATCTGTTGACTTCCTACTGTTTAAATATTTGATTATAGACTTCTAGGACATGTTCATTGTTACATTTTGTTTCTCTAATTTGAGTCCACAACAGATTCAACCAAGAGTAGTGTACTTGATTGGAGAACTCGTGTCAGCATCATTGAAGGGATTGCTCAAGGTCTTCTTTATCTCCACCAGTTTTCTAGGTTACAAATTATCCACAGGGATTTGAAGGCAAGCAACATTTTGTTGGATGAATACATGAACCCTAAAATTTCAGACTTTGGGATGGCAAGAATTTTTGGAGGAAGTGAACCAAGAGCAACCAATCGGATTGTTGGGACATAGTAAGTAATTTGCATATATCCTCTTGTAAGATTCTGCTGTTTTTGTATGGCTTGTTCTCATTTCAAAGCCAGCAATGTGGTTTGTACTCGGGTTGCATTGATTGGAGCCTGAGCTAGGGTGTTTGCACCTGAGTGATTTTCCTGGTCCAATGGATTGAGTTTCCTTCACTACAAAAAAATAAACAATTAGAATGAACTAAAAAAATTTGCATGAAATCTTTGACCATAATTCTATGAAATATTTGATTTCACAGTGGCTACATGGCTCCTGAGTATGCTTTGGAAGGTATCTTCTCTGTAAAATCTGATGTCTTCAGCTTTGGAGTTCTGTTCTTGGAGATCTTAAGTGGCAGGAAGAACACCGGTTTCTATCAGAGCAATTCTCTCAATCTTCTTGGACATGTGAGTGAAAAAACTCCGGATTTGTAACTGAGCTAAGATATATATAGTGTTGTCTTTCTTTTAAATTCCTGTCCTGCTACCTTCCCTTCCAGGCATGGGATCTTTGGACAACCAGTAGGCCTATGGAGTTGATGGATCCAATACTCCAAGATAGTTCTTCAGCCAATTCACTGATTAGATATGTTAACATTGCACTTCTTTGTGTTCAAGAACGCGCAGTGGACAGACCAACTATGTCTGATGTTGTCTTGATGCTGAGCAATGAACTCACTTTCCTACCTACTCCAAAACAACCAGCTTTCTCAAGTGTAAGAAGTATGGTGGACAATAATTCACCTATTACCAAGCCAGAGATTTGGTCTGTCAATGAAGTAACAGTCTCAATGATGCAAGCTAGATAAACCTTAAGACATTAAAATATTCTAAAGGGAAATCACATAGAGAAATATTTACATTTTGTTTTGACCAATAATCCTGCAGGTTTTATATGTAGGCTACAAGCAAATCTGTAAATTTCCTTTTATGTCTCTGAATCAATGAATAGAAAAATGCATAATTAAGAATAGCCCTTGAGATTCAGCTTCTTCGCTGAACTTGTCTTTCTTTCTAACTTCACCCAAGCTTCATGTATAACAAAAGCAATGATAATCAATTAAAAGTTCATGATTCCTGTTACTGCTTTATAACAGTTCAGGCATTGAAATTTCTGAACAGGGGTGACAGACCGGTATAAGTGAGTAGTTTCATAGGAGTTACTTTATAAGTAGTGTTGAGTTTCATTGGATTGTGACTTGAACATATGATCTCATAAAATATAACTTTATGTTGATTAATTTAGGATAATTTGGATACTTAAATATAAAAGACCAGGATTATGTTCTGGAAAAACTCAGATATTGGATGTACTCTATTGATACCTTTACCTTTACTGCTTATTTACTCTATTATTGGTCAATTGCAAGAGACAAAAGAGGAAAAATTATAAAATGTAAGGAGAGAAATTGGCATTGACAAATTTCAGATTGATGCAGCTAGCAAAGAAGGATAGGGAGGGGTTAAAAGGCACAAACTCTATTTTCAGAAGATAAAAGCATTAAGTCAGTCAATGACAATGACCTTAGAGAGTAGAAAATTGACCATTTCCACTCTAAAACGACTGCTAACTAGAATGATGGAAGTACTCCAAATAAATATTACTAATTACTATAACTAAGTGGTGGAAATCAGAATAACATTTACTTTGAAAATGTTATCAGAGATCTTGTTGGTACCTTCCAATTTCTGAATACAATTATGCTATGTATCCAAAAGCATATGTAGGAAGGAATACTATGAACCACTCATAAATTTTGAGGTTCTTTTGCAAGATATAAGGTGTTTGGAAATGGAAGATTGTTAGATATGGTATTCTGTTTCTGCAAGCTAAATGATATCTGAAGTTGGCAGAAAAAAGAGCAAGCTCTATAGCCTGCTCATCCTGATGCATTATGCTTGAAGACATTCTTTTCTCCAAATTCAATCCACACAAAAAGAAAAAAGAAAGTTCTTGGAAATGATTTTGATGTAACTAGAGTGTGAAAGAACTAATTGGAGCTACCTTTGTCAATAATGTGAGGTGTTGGTTTTCTATATAATGGTCCCTCTTCTTTATCTTATCAATGCTGAGATATTGAAGAGTAAGATTAGCTGTCAGTCTATGTAAGCAAATTTACTTTTCGTTGCATCATTCTTGCGGAGCTTATTCTTTAGTCAATCTTGTTAGTCTAATTTGTGAATCTTTTGTTAGCAGAATTTTCAGAGGGCTTTTCTTGGTAATATTTTCGTAGCCAACTAATTTCCCGTGACCTTGGAATAATATCCAAACATCTTAAAGTTCTTCCTTAATCTCATCACATAAACCCATCAAAATTTCTTCAATCTGACCTCTTTCAGACAAAAACATGAGGAGAAGTAGGTTTGTTTCTCTTCTATGGTTGCTGGTTTTTGTATGCCTTGCCTCCCAATCTATCAATGGTACTGATACTATTGAACAAGGTCAAGAAATTGCATACCCAAATACAATCATATCAGCTGGGGGAAAATTTGAACTCGGTTTCTTTTCTCTGGGAAACGCCTCCAAGTACTATGTTGGAATATGGCACAAAGAGTCTAACCGAAGTATTGTTTGGGTAGCAAACAGAGATCATTCCTTCCCTATTGAATCTTCAGTTAATCTTAGCATTAACGGTGAGGGAAAGCTCGTGATTTCAGATGGTAGAATGTTCTACATAGTGACAAATGTTACAACTAGCCGCAACACTTATGCCATGCTACTAGATTCTGGTAACCTTGTATTACTCAACCGCAATACCTTGGACGTTTTGTGGCAAAGTTTTTCTGATACCACAAATACTATTTTGCCTGGAATGACTCTTCAAGATGATTATGGATTTCTTGTATATAATTGGCTGATTGTGTCATGGAAAAGTGTGGAGGATCCAGCCCCTGGTTCTTTCTCTTTGGAACTGAATTTCACAAATTTTTTAACCATTAAGAAGGGTTCCCAAACATACTGGACTGATACTCGAAATGCCTTTTGGGGGGACGATCAGTTTGGTTGGGGCTTTACTTCGGAATTTCTTAATACTTCCAGGATTACACAGATTGTACTGGATGACTTTGGGCAGCTTAAGCTACAGTCCTGGTCTGAAGATGACCAACGTTGGTATACATTAGAGTCTTCTAAGTGTTCATATCATCGATGTGGTGTTTTCAGCATTTGTAACATCACTGCTGACACACCATGCAGCTGTTTGGAAGGTTTCAAACCAATTTCTGCCTCTACTTCCATCCAGGATGGGACATATGAAGTTTGTGTGAGAAAAAAAAACTTGCACTGCACCAACAGTGGAGATCATGCTCAGAATGATGGGTTTCTTCACAAATTTTTTGTAGATTATCCAAGTGATGAATATGTGTTAAATCATACAAGTAGTGCAGCAGACTGCAAGGCAGAGTGCGTGAGCAACTGTTCTTGCATTGCTTATGCTTATGATATCAACCGTGGGTGCCTGGTATGGTATGGAGATCTGTTCGATCTGAAACAACTTCCAGAAAATGATGTTGATGGAAAAATTTTTTATCTCAAGCTTGCAGTTTCTGAGCTAATTACAAGTGGTAGGAAAAAATTTGACTCAGACTGGATATTCTAGCAAAGTATCAGCTTATTCTTTTCTCTATTTTAGGACGAAATACAAGTGCAACTATACATTAACTTCATATTTGATTTGTTTTTCCTCTTTTCATACTGTCATACTTGATTTTGTTTCATAGATACAAGTTCAACAAACAGAACTACAGAAGATCAAAAGGAAAAAAGTGACAAGAGGCAGCTTTGGGCAATTGTCATACTAACCTTGTCTCTATCAATGCTTGTTTTGGGCTTCAGCATTTATTTTGTCAGCAAAAAGCTTCAATCCAAAGGTAAAACTTTATCCCTTTTTATTTCTAGTAAGGCAATGAATAGAGTTGTCCATAACAGTGTTCATTTCTCTGCAACATTCAGGGGAGGATTTGTTAAAATTTGATTTGGCTATAAGCCGAAAAGCTGATGACACAGACTTGAAGGAGGCAACTAAACCGGGAATACACAGGAAAAACGAATCAAAACTCCCATTTTTCAGTTTTGAAAGCGTTTCTGCCGCCACAGATAATTTTTCAGTCACAAATAAGCTTGGTGAGGGTGGTTTTGGACCTGTCTACAAGGTATGAATGTTTTTCTTAATCACTATTCTTAGCAGAAGGAATGTATAAATGTACAAAAACATGATCCTTCCAATTCCGGAACGCACTGCTGCCACATCAAATTAGCCATACTATTGCAGGGTTCACATGTTAGGTGGAATAACTTTGTTAAAGATGAATTGAAAACCAAAGTAAGACTTATCATGTCAGGGTATATTACTGAAAGGTGATGAGATAGCTGTTAAAAGGCTATCAAGAAGATCAGGACAAGGATGGGAGGAGTTGAAAAATGAAGCACTTCTCATAGCAAAGCTCCAGCACAAGAACCTTGTCAGGCTTTTAGGCTGCTGCATTGAACGAGATGAGAAGATACTAATTTATGAGTACATGCCGAATAAAAGCTTGGATTTTCTTCTTTTTGGTTTGTACTTTCTCAGATGTTTGAATCTATTTTCAATCCTTGACCAAGATCAGTGTAATTTTAACTAATATCTTGTTTCTGACGAAACAACAGATTCAGTCAAACGTAGGACACTAGATTGGAGTACACGACTTCGGATCACTGAAGGGATTGCTCAAGGGCTTCTTTACCTTCATCAATACTCTAGGTTGCGAATTATTCACAGAGATTTGAAGGCTAGTAATATTCTGTTGGACAGCAACATGAATCCCAAAATTTCAGATTTTGGAATGGCAAGAATTTTTGGAGGGGAGGAATTGCAAGCAAATACAAATCGAATTGTTGGGACTTAGTAAGTAAAAATAAATGGAACCTCCCAATTCTATGAACTCCCTGCATGTAATCAAAATCCAGTTCAATATTTAACCTTTATGTTTTGCATTCTTAATTGGTTACTTATTAACAATTTTTGAGTTAGTATTCACTTTCAGTGGTTACATGTCCCCTGAATATGCTTTGGAGGGCCTCTTCTCTGTAAAATCGGATGTCTTCAGCTTTGGGGTCTTGCTACTGGAGATTGTGAGTGGGAAGAAGAATACTGGTTTTTATCAGTCTAAATCTCTCCATCTTCTTGGCTATGTGAGTTTCTAAACTGCTTTAACAGTGTTAAGTTAATGAATTCAACTTGTTTTGGCATTTAATTCAGGGTTCTAAGATGTCTAGTGGTTTGAAAAATCTAGTTGCATCACGAAGTTATCTACTTTTGTTCTTGTAGCGCTGATTTATTTTGTTTTGTTTTTTCCTTGTGACTGAAGGCATGGGATTTGTGGACAAGAAACAGGGCACTGGACTTAGTTGATCCAATGCTGCAGGAAGTGCCTACACATTTGGCATTGAGATATGTAAACATAGGGCTACTTTGCGTCGAGGACAATGCAGATGATAGACCGACCATGTCTTCTGTAGTCTCGATGCTTAACAATGAAACCATGGCCCTACCTTCTCCTAAGCAGCCAGCTTTCTTAAATGCAAGAAGTATGGTGAACCAGAACTTGGTACAGAGCAGGTCAGAGATCTATTCTGTAAATGATGTAACATTTTCAGTCTTGGAGGCTCGTTAACATTTTATAAGTTTCCTTAGTCGTAAGTTTTCGTCGTATTCCCTGAGCATCAATGAATCCAAAGATTGTACCTTTTATGTCTATCAGTTGTATTCTAAACTTCATTTTGACTGAATCCTCTTGGTTTTTATCATATCAACTTTCTGTTTCTGAAATATTATGTGAAAGGTGGCATTTTTCAATTTTGCTAAGTTAATTGGATCTTTTCACATAGAAACAACAGTTTGCAGTCCTAGCCCTTTGGATCCAATACTCCAAGAACAGTTCTTCAGACAATGAACTGTTTAGATGTGCTTACATTTCACTTCTTTGTGTTCAAGAACACGCAGTGGACAGACCAACCATGTCTGATGTCGTCTTGATGCTGAGTAATGAACTTAGCGTCCTACCTTCTCCAAAACAACCAGCTTCCTCAAGTGAAAGAAGTATGTTAGACACTGTTTCATGCATGACCAAGCCAGAGATTTGGTCTGTCAATGAAGTAACAGTCTCAATGATGCAAGCCCGATGAACCTTTAGATAAAAAAATACCCTAAAGAAAAATCCATCAGAGTATGTTATTTTCAATGACTTTTGACCATTACATTGTTTTGGTTTGAACACAGTGATGCTTATGTACAATTTTCTGTTGTGATTGCAATTGAATTATATTTAATTTCTATATTTATTTTATCAAAAAATTAATTTTTTAATATGTCAAAATTAGGCCTGCAAAGCACCTGTTATTTGTTAATTTCGAGTTTCTCGTCTCTTTCTTCCTTTGTTCTTGAAAGCTAGCCTCCGTTCATTCATTTTTTTCTAGGAAACTTAACAAAGGTAGAAACTATAGCTACAAGCAATTTCAGTTGTCAACATCCCTGGAAATGCTGGTGTTTTTGCATAAAAGTCTACAACTAGACCATTCTTCTTTGGACTAACGCTCTTTGACCAAGAATGGTATTTTTGTTAATATAATTCAAAGGGCTTTTCTTGGTAATATTTTCATACCTGACTAATAAGTTTATCTGATCAGTTAACGCAACTTTGGTAATACACATGTTTATAGACATTGATACAACAAACAGGCTATAATGCTGATTCCATCTGCTGCAGTGGCAATATGAGTCGGGCTTCTTGTGCAGGTATTTCTCTTTACCAAGTTGGTTCTTAGCATTCATTTAAATATATAGCAGTATAGCTGAACTGAAGTTGAAGGCCGTTCATTTTTCTTCATAGTAGAATGTTGTGGTGAAAGAATTCAAATTCTGAATGATAGCTAATTGTTAGAGATAAAAGAATTCAGGTTGAAGTTGAGGGTCCTTCATTTACATGCTAGTGGGAGCTTGAAACAGCATCTTTATTTAAAGTAAAACGTTGTGTCCACATGATACAAACTCTGAACTCTGACACCATGACAGATAAATGTTTGAGCTAAGAGTATAAACAAATTAGTTGGCCTCAAACAGATATCATATCTCATGATTGTCTCCATCATGAAATTAGATCCAGCTTTGGTCGTAGCATTTGGATTACTTATAGGTAACAAAATGATTTCAAAAGGCCAATTTATTTATCCTGTTCTTCTGCTGATATTCTCATGCCACATCTTGAAATACCCTGATGCTGTAACAGACACAATCTCAGCAGGGCAACACCTCTCTAACTCAGAAACTATAGTATCAGCTGGGAAAATGTTTGAACTAGGATTCTTTATCCCTGGCAATTCAAGGAATTACTATGTGGGTATATGGTTCAAGAATATCTCAGAACAAACAGTTGTTTGGTTAGCAAACCGAGATTATCCGCTCACTGCTTCTGCAGTTCTCAGTATTAGTCTTGATGGCAACCTGGTGATTAGGCATGGTAAGATAATTTACATGGTGACAGACATAACATCTAATGCAAATGTGAGTGCTACACTGTTGGATTCAGGAAATCTTGTAGTGAGAGATGAAAAATCTAATATCTTGTGGCAGAGCTTTGACTTCCCTTCGCATACTTTTTTGCCTGGGATGAAACTTGGATACGACGGGGAGAATGGAAAATCTTGGTCATATATCTCTTGGAAAAGTGCTGATGACCCTAGTTCCGGAAATTTCACCTTGGAATTCGATCCTACAGGAGAAAAACGCGTTCAGATCTCGAACGGTGATGTAATGTCCTGGAAAGCTGGGCCCTGGACAGACGACTCCAACGTGTTTGACTTCACTGCTGAAATGGGATCGTACATGTACAACTTTACCTTTGTTTCTGGATTTAACATGAATTATCTCACTTACGACATCTATAGGAAAGACATCATTAGTAGATTCACAATTGATGTCACGGGACAGTTCAAACAATTTTTATGGCTAGAAAATGAGTGGACTCTGTTCAACTCCCAACCTAGACAACTATGTGACGTTTATGCTTATTGTGGAGCCAATGCCAGCTGCACCAATGTGTCATTACCATATTGTAGCTGCTTACCCGGATTTGGACCAATCTCACTTGAGGGTTGGAATAAAGGAGACTATTCACGTGGGTGCTCAAGGAAAACTGATTTGCAATGCGGCAATGACACTAATATCAAGGGAGAAGGGGATGGATTTCTCAAGCTGTCTAATGTAGTAGTGCCGAAGAAAGAGCTGACTCTAGAGGTTCAGAGTTTTGGTGAGTGCAGGTCATCCTGCTTGAGCGACTGCTCCTGTACTGGTTTTTCTTATATTGATCAAAATTGCTCCATCTGGACCACAGCTCTTATTAATTTGCAGCAACTTCCAGCTGATGACATTTTCGGAAGAGATTTTTTTCTCAAACTTGCTGCTGCTGATTTGGGTACTAGAAGTAAGAACAATGGAACTAATCTCTTCAATCTTTCCTGTTAAACATCCATTTTTCATATCCTCATTCCTTCATAACCATAATTTTTTTTTGTTCTTAGTATAAATTGTTGGGTTAATATACACAGGATTAACTTATGTGTTTCTGGGATATGCAGAAGGCACAGGAAACAAGAGGAAGCGATCAATTATTATATCGGTGACCATTTCTGTGACAATTCTTACTTCAGCTCTGCTCATTTGGCAAGTGAGGAAGAAAAAGCAAAAAAGAAAAGGTGAAAGTTCTCTCTACCAACATACAAGCAACCGTGCATGATTTTTTGGCCTCATCGACCAAAAGTGCCATCTTGAATTGCTTTTGCGTTAATTGGGTCAAATTTTAATTTACCAATGCAATAACTGCACATCCCAATGTAGCAGTGAGTCCAGCCTGTCTAAGTTTGCTTCAATACCTGCAAAAATGGTACAAGGTCATAATCCGAAATTGCAAGTTTGAATTGTCATATGAGTTCATACTTACATGCAAATGGTCTTTCCATTGGACTAGCACTACCAATAGGGGTCTGCAGTTTTCCCGTTTATCTAGCAGTAGGATTAAATTTATTTGTGCATGGTCTCTCAAATCATAGAGAGAAATAGATTGTTAGAATTTCATTATTTGGTTTTGAGTGCATGAATCTGTCAGTGCGTATGCACTCAAATGCTAGAATCCTTATGTTGACACTCATGCTTCATCAATTCGTCACCAAGCAGGGGAGAACTTGTTATTATTTGAACTTAGTGTTAGCCCAGCACCTACCAAAAATGAACAATCTGAAGTAAAAGGACAAGGAAAACAAAAGAAGGAAGTGGAGATTCCGCTATTCAGCTTTTCTAGCATATCTTCCGCTACCAATAACTTCTCTGCCTCAAATAAACTTGGAGAGGGTGGTTTTGGGCCTGTATACAAGGTAAAGTTCAATGTTGGACGCAGTAAGCCTCACGAAGGAAAATTCAAATTAATAACTTCTCTGTGAGAAACTCAGTAAGGAGTGTCTGTTTCAGGGAAGGTTATTAAAAGGGCATGAAGTAGCTGTAAAAAGGCTCTCAAGAAAATCTGGACAAGGTTGGAATGAGTTAAAAAATGAGGCAATGCTCATAGCCAAACTCCAACACAAGAATCTTGTGAAACTTCTCGGTTGCTGCGTTGAAGGAGATGAAAAGATTCTTGTCTACGAGTATTTGCCCAACAAGAGCTTAGACTTTTTCCTCTTTGGTAACTTCTCGTCATTTCAGAGCAATATAAACCTCTCATGTTTGTCACTTCATTGTTATTTCATTAATGGTATAAGTTTCATTAATTGTTTTTTTATTTTTTGCTCTGTTTTAAATCCGTGAAGGCAGCAAAAATATTTTTATACTAGCTTGGGGAACTCGTGTTCGCATCATTGAAGGGATTGCTCAAGGTCTTCTTTATCTCCACGAGTTTTCCAGGGTACAAATTATTCATCGGGATTTGAAGGCCAGCAACATTTTATTGGATGAAGAGATGAACCCAAAAATTTCAGACTTTGGGATGGCAAGAATTTTCGAAGGCAGTAAACCACGAGCAACTGATCGAATTGTTGGGACTTAGTAAGTAGTTAGCATGTATATGGATCCTCCTATGCAAAGCATCAGGGCACATACGGTCATAAGGGCAAGCTGCATTTGCCAATTACTATGTTGTTGGTGTAGTTTTATCCTTGTTCTTTCACTTGGTGCCTGAGCTGGGGATTTCCCCGAATGGATTGCATTTCCTGATTGCCATATTAAAATGATTAAATCAATACGGTAACTATTCTTAATCATGAAGCTTGTAAATAATTTGATTTATTATGGAAATGCAGTGGCTACATGGCTCCCGAGTATGCTTTGGAAGGTGTCTTCTCTGTTAAATCAGATGTCTTCAGCTTCGGAATATTGATGTTAGAGGTTTTAAGTGGCAAGAAGAACACTGGTTTCCATCAGAGCAATTTTCTCAATCTTCTTGGATATGTAAGTGATGCCCCAGAAACTGAACCGAGATATAATCATTCATAAAAGCGTTGTCCTTTTATTTCATGTTATCGTACCTTTTCAGGCATGGGATCTTTGGACGAGCAGCAGGCCTCTGGAGTTGATGGAATCTGTCATGCAAGACAGTTCTTTTACCAATGCAGCGATTAGATACATTAATATTGCACTTCTTTGTGTTCAAGAGCGTGCAGAGGACAGACCAACCATGTCTGATGTTGTCTCGATGCTGAGCAATGAACTTACCGTCTTACCTTCTCCGACGCAACCAGCGTTTTCAAATGTCAGAAGTATGGTAGACCTGAATTTAAGTCCGAGCAAGCCAGAAATCTGCTCTGCAAATGAAATAACACTATCAGTCTTGGATGCTCGATGAAACTTTAAACTCGTTTAGTTTCTTTCAGAACATATCATCTTTTCTCAAATTCCAAGACATCAGCCTGTTTTTCTCATATCAATTGTGCTGAGATTGTTAGTCACTTTCTTTCCGCATTAATTACTCCCTCTTTAAAAGCTTTTTTTCTTTGGAAAAACTCCCTCTTTAAAACATTATGTGAATGATATGATTTCATTAAAAAAGTATAAAAATCAAGGAGAATAATCTGGGAAATTAATATGCAGACAATGAGATATGTCCCATCTGGGTATTTATTGAGTAATGTTTTGACTATTAAGATATGGGTTCGGATAGAAATTCAAAAATTTAATCGGGTAATATATATGGCGTTCTGAGTTAGGATATTGAAAAAATAACGGACATCTTATCCTATCCGTTGATATCTCTGATCTAAGGCTCACATAGATGACTCGTTGAAGCTTTGAAGATCAAACAACCAGCTTTAACTCTCATGCCTCATGGATGAAAATACAAAAGTTGCTATCAGGTCAGTAAAAGTGACAACAATGCATTCTTGAAGAAATGAATGTGAGGCTAACATGTCAGAGTAAACAGCTATTGATAATTAAAACTTCGTTTTCCAAATGCCCGGTGGAGAAGGAAACCATGAATCATCAGTCTGAGCGAATAGACCTAAAAAATTGGCAAGACATGGAAGTCAAGCATCACATGGCTGTGAAGGAAGAATTGTCATGCACTTGGAAGCAAGAAAAAGTCTATCTTTCCTTTTAAGGTGACGCAGACAGGTGTCTGAAATAGTCAAGAAAATTACTTTGAATATGACATTTACTCACAAGTCACAACTGCAGTTATGAGAGGTAAGAATTATTTTCTCTTTGCATTTATGAGGTAGACTTCCAATGTTTTCCCATTAATTGCAAGATTTTCTGTTCTTAATAATGAACTTAACATATATATCTTTGAGGCATCAATAAAGACGGAAATGTACTGTAGTTAATCAACAGAATTTTCTCTATTCTAATGCCATGGGTTATTTTAGTAGGACAATATTCTGGCATTGAATGTCATACATGAACTGTCATGTTATTACGACTGATTTTCAGCAATAGTGAACGAGATTATTAACAATATTTCAGGCCAACCTTTTATTTTTCCATAAAACTCTAAAACATGTTGAATTACTACTGTAAACAACCTAAATCCATAGTTTCAACAGCTCAAGTCAAGGTTAGGCTTTTTCATGACACCATTGCATTCTATGCAGGCCATGAAGGAACTTGTTTAGAGGAATAAAGCTAGACTTAAACATGGAGAGGGCTCCTCTAATCACTTTGTTTTACTCTTTGATAATTTTGTTCATCCTGGAATTGTCAGAGGAAGCTGATATTTTAACTGTGGGAGGGTCTATTAGTGATGGTGACACACTGGTTTCCTCATTCCAAAGCTTTGAGCTAGGCTTCTTTTCACCTGGAAAATCAGAAAACAGGTACTTGGGAATATGGTTCAAGAACAGCCCTGGAGCAGTTGTTTGGGTTGCAAACAGAAAAAATCCAATTACTGATGGGAAAGGGGTTTTAACTGTAAGCGACAGTGGAAATCTTGTCCTTCTGAACCAGGCAAAGAATGTCATCTGGTCTTCCAATGTGTCAGGGCCGGCGGAAAATCCTGTGGCACAGCTGCTAGATAGTGGAAACCTTGTTCTCAAGGACAACAAAAGCTTGACTCAAAGCTATCTGTGGCAAAGCTTTGATTACCCATCAGACACACTTTTGGCTGGCATGAAGATAGGATGGAACTTAAAGACAGGTCAGGAAAGATATTTAACATCATGGAAAAGTACTGACGATCCATCCCCCGGAATCTTCACTTACAGACTTGACATAAATGGGTTACCTCAGTTAGCCATTGACAGAGGATCAATGAAAATGTTCCGTACAGGACCATGGAATGGAATTGGATTTGGAGCTGTTCCAGCAGTCTCAAATTTAGTCTTCAAACCGACTGTTGTCCGCAATGATAACGAGTTATGTTACTCTTATGAGGCTGTCAGCAATGCTATTACCATGAGATTATGGTTGAATCAGTCAGGTTCTTTACAGCGTCTTATATTGAATGAGGGGAGCAGTGAATGGGGTATTTTGTACTCAGCTCCATTTGATCAGTGCGACACCTATGGACTCTGTGGTGCTAATAGTATATGTAGCATTAGGAGAACAGATACCTGTGAGTGTTTAACCGGATTCATTCCCAAATCACAAGAAGAAAGGCGTACAAACAAGTCATTGTCTCTGAACTGTGCAAGAGAATCACCACTGGACTGTCAAAATGGACAAGGCTTTCAAAGACTTGTGGGGGTTAAATTGCCAGACTTGTTAAAAGTTCGGCTAAATAAGAGTATGAGCCTCAAGAAATGTGAAGCTGAATGCTTGAAGAACTGTTCTTGTGCAGCTTATGCTAATTTGAATATAACTGGAGGCGGTAGCTGTTTGATGTGGTTTGGTGACCTCATTGACATCAGAGAAGTTTCCGAAGTGTACAGAGGAGAAGAGGTCTACATAAGATTGCCGGCTTCAAGTCTAGGTAGGTGCAACTTTCTCATAAAACTTCCTCCTTTCACTTCAAAACTATTTAGAAATCCATTGACAATACATCCTCAGAATGGTAAATCCAGACGCATTGAAGCATATCTTTTAAATGTTCATTTTTTATACTGTGTAAGGGCATTACCTTTTAAATGTGCAGTTTTCATACTGTTTTAGGGCATTTTACTTGTTATGGACCCATCATTGAGATTGAAAAGAGAGTAGAAAGGAAGAAATAGGGAATTATAACACAAAGCAAAATAATGCAGAAATTGAATTGAGTTATTCAATTTTTTTATCTATATTCACAGTAATTGTTTATCCATTTTTGCCCTTGAAAAGATTATTTACAAAAACTGAATTTGTACCAGATTACTGACTCTGTATTTTCTAGGATCCACCCATGATTCAAGTACAAAGAACAGATCAAAGGTTATCCTACTGGTGTCAATCATTTCTAGCACGATTATTTTGGGCCTGGTGTCCTGCATAATTTGGAGGAAATCAAAGAAAAGAGGCAAGCATACTCATCCAACCTTACTGATTTTCTTCAAACAGAAGGCTGTAATGTAGGGATTAAAACTCAATGAATTGCAGATGGATTACTTCATTTAACGAGAGTGGAAAGTGGGACAGAGGAAGCAGAAGTACCTTTATTCGATTTCTCTAGCATAGAAAATGCCACTAATAATTTCTCTTACGCCAATGTAATTGGAGAGGGTGGCTTTGGTCCTGTTTACAAGGTAAGGAAACATGGAATAGGTAATGTTGCTGGCTACTACTAGAACATAGCAAAAACTATAGTGATGTGCTTTGACAATATGCAGGGCAATCTTCCAACGGGACAGGAAATAGCAGTAAAGAGGCTGTCAAAGGACTCAGGGCAGGGTGTTGAACAGTTCAGCAATGAAGTAGGTTTGATAGCCAAACTTCAACACAGGAACCTTGTTGGACTGCTTGGTTGCTGCATTCAAGGAGATGAAAGGATGTTAATCTATGAGTTTATGTCCAACAAAAGCTTGGATCACTTCATCTTTGGTTTGAGACTCTTGACCTTTTATCTATTATCAGTTGAATTAATTTCCTACACATTATATTTAAGGTCAAACCGATATATCAAATAGAATTTAGAGATTTACAAGAAATTACGTGTGCAGACCATAGACAAAAAGCACAACTACCATGGCAAAAGCGGTTTGATATTGTTCTGGGGATCACAAGAGGGCTTCTCTATCTCCACCAAGATTCGAAACTTCAGATTATCCACAGGGATCTCAAAGCAAGCAATATATTACTAGACAGCAACCTGATCCCCAAAATTTCAGATTTTGGCTTGGCAAGAATTTTTGGAGGCAATGATGAGGAAACAAAAACAAATAGAGTTGTTGGGACATAGTAAGTTACCATTACCTCTTTTCATCATCTTTTATGCTAAAAGAGGCTATATGTTATCTAATATTCTGTAATTGCAGTGGTTACATGGCTCCGGAGTATGCAATTGATGGAACATTTTCAGTCAAATCTGATGTTTTCGGTTTTGGTGTGCTCCTGTTAGAAATAGTAAGTGGTAAAAAGAATAGAGGATATTCTCATCCTGATCACCGCCACAATCTTCTTGGTCATGTAAGTCATAACAATGAAATCTCATTTCTTCTCCTCCTCTTCCCTGATCTCCCTCTAGCTATTCTACTGAGTATAACTGACTAAGCACCATCCCTGTAGGCATGGCTGCTTTGGAATGAAGATAGAGCTTTGGAACTAATTGATACCAGCTTGGAAGAATCATGTGTTAGGTCTGAAGTGGTTAGGTGTATCCAGGTTGGTTTATTGTGTGTTCAAGAATTCCCAGAGGACAGGCCAGCAATGTCGTCCGTTCTTCTCATGCTGACAAATGAATCAGCAGCAACATTACCTCAACCCAAACCGCCTGGTTTCTTCATCGAAAGGAAAAGCTCCACAAATTTTAGTGGTTCAACAACTACTAAAGAAGAATCAATCACAGGAAATGCAGTTACCATAACCTTGCTAGAAGCTAGATAGACAATTCCAGCTATCTTATTCAGCTTTCTTTGTTGAGAATTTTTGTTTTTAAAACTATGACAATGCAAATACATGGATTATGGCTTGAAGTCTAACCCCTCTGCATGTTTCATATCAACAGATACTATATGTCCATAATTCTATGTAATTTGGTTCAAATTGGACAAGGTTCTTAAACCAAACTGGAAACCTCAGTTCTCATATTTTGGTTCTGAGTTGGTTTGTAAATTAATTAGGATCTTTGGTTAATTTTGGGCTTTCCCAACAAGTCCAAATTTCAAAATCTTTATTTGACTATAAATATGAAAATTATCACATAATTATTATTAACTTAACATATTCAATAAAATAAGCATGAAACTATACAGAGATTATGACAATCTTGCATGCTTTTAGATTTTTTCGATTCTCTCTCTCTTTACAAGAATTAATTTAATTTATGAATCTAACTCTATGGCGATTTTATCTTGGATGAACAATATCGATTAGAGGTCATGAGATAAATGGCCCATTTTCAATAAAATAGATGTTTTAAAGCAAATTACAGATATAGCCACATTTGTGCATACTTTGAAAATTATTAACTAATTAACTAATTAACTAATTATTGCCGCTTATAACTAATTATCTAATTATTGCCATAACTAATATAGACCAAGCAGTCTACATCAATCTTTTCTAAGCATGGCCCCAGGATCGATGACCATAGATTCCCTTGCAAGGCCTCAAAAAGAAGAGGACCCTTTTTTTCTTTCTGCTAATGGTATGCCGGTGTTTTGTGTTTATGTTCTGTTCTAATTGAAGTTGATATCTTAACAAGTTAACATGGTATTTCCTTCTTTCAAACCGAACAGATGAAATGAAACCCAGCATGTGAAAGGATCCACGTAGGTGTGGTGTATGTGGAAATTGTGAAACACACCATACCTCAAACAACATCTTTTGTATCATAAAAAGTACACACACTCTTCCGGCCAAAATTGCTGATGAACTTTTCATTCATCCAATCATATGTATGGTCAATGTTAATTGTTTTCTAATTGGGCCATCCTTCCTTTTTCAGATATAAAATTTATCAATAAAGTCGGCGCGGAGTTTATTATTATGTAATAAATTTTCATGGAATATTCAATGTGAACAGAGTAATTCGTAGAATTTAAATTATCATTTATTTCATAAAAAAAAAACCTAGTTAGTTTTATAATTTTTTAAATACATTATATATATACACTTAAATCATATCATTTTAATTAAGAAAATTATTTAATACATAGATGATTATTTAAAATTTCATAGCGAGATTAAAAGGTTGACACATGTTTTATTAAGTATATTTATAAACATTAATTCAGACATATTATTTGAAAAAACTCTTGAACTATTTTAGAAAATTCAAATAAGTTTTTATTTTTATGTTACGTTCAATTAAGTTTTTGAATTTTTATTTTAAATCAAATATGTTTTTATGATTAATGGTTGACTAATTATCATTAATAAAAATATCAAATGGTATTTTATGTTCATTTGACTTTAACGTGAAAGGTGAAAAATATCGTATGATCATGTCACCAAGTTACATAAGTACGTCATGTCATCCTCCATTATAACATGTTAGTATGCGATGTCAATCTTTTATATAACATATAATGATAAGTGATATTTTGACTAACTATTGTTAGTCAATCAGTAGTTATATAAGAGATTATTGGATTCAAAAGAAAAATAAAAAACCTTCATTGAACACAATAAAATAATAAACGTTTATTGATTATTTAAAATAATTTTAGAGATTTTTTTTAAAAATAATAACTTAATTTTAATTTATATTTAAATATATGATAATCATCTAATGCAATTTAAAAATCTGAAAACTCCATTGGCAGCTGACATATACAAACTAATAATTTTCTCATAATTAATTAATATTTCAAATTAAAAATTATAATTTCCTAGTACTTTAACTTTGTTCCCCCTCTTTCATCAGGAAATCTTTGTATTGGAACCAAAACAATCACTTATCTATACCTGGTTTTTGTGTCAAATACTTGACTATTTGATCACCCTTTTGCCAAGCAAACCAGAAACAACTAGTTTCAAAATCTGTGGGTACCAAGACTTTGGTAGACACATGCCAATGACAAATGCATGGATACATATGCGGCCCTCCTTTTCACATGTATGTTCCTCAATAATCCAACCAGTCTTTGTCATGTGATTCTTGCTATATTCTTTACTGAAAGTGAAAATATACCGCGTAGTTTGTGAGTAATCTCCCCAGAAGTCTGAGTCACTAGTTGCAGCTGACATGTCGGAACATATATTAACATCAGCAACAGGAACCATTTTCATGGTTTTTATACTGGTGTTTTCAGTTTGTATTACAATCCGTTTCCGGGTGTTATCTAAATTTTCCATTGATTGATGCTTCTGCCTTTGCTAGAATGCAAGGTTAATTCATTTACTCTCTAGCCTTTCCTTTTACAAATGCATATGAGGAGTCTTGCTTTGGTCTTCTTTCTCTTTCTAGTTTCCTTTTCGGTTTTCTCTTCTGCTGCTGATGCTTTAATTGCAACTGATGAATCCATCACCTTAGTTTCTACAGGCCGAAGATTGTTTATGACTAATCCTAGGGATTTGTGATTAACTTAAATGTAACACACTGGATCAATAACCATTGCAACATGAAAAATTTTTTACTGATCAATTTGTTGGTTTTTGGAGTCAACAGGCTATTCAAGTTGGAAGCATTAAAAAGTAGTGATTATAGCAATCCTGTCGACAGTGTCTGCAATGCTTAGTCTTTGTTTCGTATGTTGGCATATGATACTGAAGAACTGGAGAAAGAAAAGAGGTGAACTTACTCATCTATCCTCGCTGCGATTCTGCAAAGAAATGTCTGGTATATTTTGAGCCGGAGGACGTGCTGTGATTTTTATTTGTTTAAGCTAGAACTCCATAACCGTATGCTCTTAGTTTGCTGTGACTTTTGAGGCAAGGAAAGCCGATAGTTAATCCTTTTGACGCATTCCTTTCTTCCAATTTTAGTAAATCGATTGACAAATATACATTTTCATTTCACAGGATCAAAAATAGATAAAAAATACCATGATTTGCCATTATTTGATTTTGTAGCTGTTGCATCTGCTACTGGTAACTTCTCTGAATCAAATAAACTAGGAGAAGGTGGTTTTGGTCAGGTTTACAAGGTAAGACGCCATATATTTTATTGAAGTATAGGGTGTACTACCATTCTTACATCTAATGATTAGCAGGGTGTGCTACTAAAGGGACAAGATATAGCAGCCAAGAGACTCTCATGTAATTCTAGGCAAGGTCTTCAAGTGTTTGAGAATGAAGCTATAATAATAGCTAAGCTTCAACATAGGAATCTTATCAGACTTCTAGGGTGTTGCATTGAAGAAGATGAAAGGGTGCTAATCTATGAGTACATGCCAAACAAAAGCTTGGACTACTTTATTTTTGGTATGTTTCTGTGAATCTCCACTTGATTTTGCCTAAGTTTCAATCTGAAATGAAATTTACCTCTCTATATAGAGTCCTAAATTGTAAGTGGATGGAACTCTTTGCAGATCAGGATAAAAGAACATTGCTGAATTGGCCAAAAAGATTTGACATTGTAATGGGAATTGTTCAAGGACTCCTCTACCTCCATCATGATTCAAGTTTGCGAATCATTCATAGGGATCTAAAATCCAGCAATATCTTACTAGACAATGATTTGAACCCAAAAATTTCTGACTTTGGCATAGCTAAAATTGTTGAAGCTGACCAACTTGAGGCAGAAACAAAGCAAGTGGCAGGGACATGGTAAGTTGATATATCAAAACTTCAGAAGAACAAAAAAAATCTTTAAATTTAAAATCATTTATGTTCAATAATTTCTTGCAGTGGTTATATGTCCCCGGAGTATGCAATCAATGGAAAATTTTCAGTAAAATCAGATGTGTTTGGTTTTGGCGTTCTTTTGCTAGAGATAGTAACTGGCAAATGTAACAGAAGGTTTAATCACCCAGATCATCAGCATAATCTTTTGGGACATGTGAGTAGACATTGTTAAGCACTTATCTTTCCTTGAAATTTCAACTTTCAACATTTTATGCAAAATTGACATTGGTTATAGGCATGGCTGCTGTGGCATGACAACAGGGCTTTAGAGCTACTGGATCCATGTTTGAAGCATTCATGTGTTGAATCTCAGGTGCTTAGGTGCATACAAGTGGGTTTGCTTTGTGCTCAAAAACTTGCGGAGAATAGGCCAATTATGTCTGATGTAGCAGTCATGTTGGGCAACGAAGAGGTTACATTGCCTGAACCGAAAGAGCCTGGTTTTTTCACAAAAAGGCGTGCCCGTGACACAGACACATTGAATGATGATAGAATCTGTTGCACTAAAAATTCAGTGACTATAACAACGTTGGAAGCTAGATAAAAGGATGTCTAAATGCTGTACTTCGGATACAATACTGATGCCTATCATATCAAGTGATTGAATGTTATACTGTTAAGCCCAGTAGCTCATAGATTGCAACAATTTTCGAAACATCTAAGTTTGACATTGCAGATAGAACAGTTGAGCATGTAAGTATCCTTTAGGTTTTCTTTTTTTCGTTTTATTTAAAAAAATTGACTTAGATACGTGGTACATGGTAACTAAATCAAGAGGACCGCATACCTCCGTTCAATTTTTCCTTTTTCCTTCTCGCACTAGAACCGGGGTTGCCATTTAAGTCTCTAGCTTAAATAGAAGAAAACTCTTGATGACATGAAGAGAAGTGAGGTTGAAAGCAACTGTACAATTATCAAAAGGACCCAGCTACTTACAAATATACGGTAGCATCATAGTCAAGGGGTCGAGATGAGCAAACTCAAGAGAGTAATCACAAAAACCCCCTCATGGCAGAGACAAAACAAAAGTTCTGCCCCTCACAAATCAGAGTCACCTAACAATTGACAAGAAGAATACAAAAGTTCCACCAAAACTTTGGAAGGAAAGACGGGCAAAACCAACATCAAAGGGATGCAGAGCACAAGGCTTCCGCTTGACAGTGTCAGCCGTGGAGGTGGGGAAATCTGTAGCATAAGCTTAGCTGGCCATTGGTATCTCCTCACTAGCTCTTCCTCTCGGACCACATGCAAAACACCAACAAAAGAAATGGCCACCACATGAAGAAAAAGATGAGAGAGAACCGATCCGTACAACCTTGTGAAGACGGTCAACACATGGATTGATCTGATCTCAATTATTAATTTGTTGGGTATATTTTTAATCACTATTTAGATACGCATGAATTATGAAAATTATATATATAAATAGTAATTTAAAATATGTTGAACAGTAAACTAACCTAGCTTGACCTGGTTAAGTACGGGTAGGTGCACAAACTTCTTAAGGTCAAAGTGACATGGGCTCATCATAGTGGGCGTTGGTTAGGGATTAGAAAGGGGGTATGTTGGTCTGTGCAAGGTGGCAAGCCACGTCTACTTCGGATTGGACTCAAGACAAAGAATTTTAAACTTGAGTTTTTTTTTATTTAATTTCAATTCGAAATTGATTTTAAATATTAATGAATTTTTCCTTTTGAATTGAGGACATTTTTTGAAAATTTTTTAGAAGGTTTAAGCCTCACCGAGGACTTCATCTCATTCTAATTATTTCTATGTACGATTGTTTTCCCATTTTACGTGAGAAACGTGTTACACTTTCACTCAAATTTCGACATCAGCCCATGATCATGGAGCCTGACACGACGGCGTCTCCATGCATCCACCCGACGCCGAAAGAGCATTATCATTGCTGCTTCTGAGAAATAAAGCAAGGTTGACTTGACAAACACCATCTTTTTAACCAATTGAATGCGTGTCCTATGTTTGTGGTGGACCCGACAGTTCATGACTATTCAACTTCTCGCTACAGTTGATTGAAATTGACAGACAGTCAAGTTGTCTCACGTATGGCTTGTTTTTCTTTTATTACTGTAATATTCTTCAAAAATATTTTATTTAATTAATTATGTTATAAAAAATTAATAATTATTTGACAACAGTCCATATTAAATAAATATAATATAATATAAATTTAATTAATATATAAATATTTGATTTATTGATTAATATATAATCTTTTTACTTAAAAAAATAAAATTCAAATTTTTTTTCTCCAATTACACAAAAAAGATTTTAATATTTTTATAATTGTATTTATGACTTTGGATTCACTAATAAAGAGTAATCGAAGAATAGTTTTTTAACAGATAGAGTAATTTTTGTAGTGTTCACTTATATTATCACACGTTTTACATTATTATGTTTAAAAGTCATCTGGCTTAAAAGAAAGGTTATAGGAAACTAATTCTAGATAAAAAGGAGAAAGGTAGAAAAATGAAAAAATCTATTCAAGAAAACAGTGGCTAAGATTATTAGGCTTTAATTTATGAAAATTGTATTTTTGCATAGTTCGAAATAAAAATCTTAATTTTAGTTTATATTTTTTTAATTTTCGTCTAAGATCGATATTATAAAAATAAATTTTCGACAGCATGATAGATACCAATGAAAAGGTCCTGAAAAAATTTTACTAATGGTTTGTGTAGTATCTCATTTTACCAAGTAAATGAAGATATACGAATTTTTGCAGTGATTGAAAAACTCATTTTTAACAGTTTTGACGTCCAAATTTAAGTTATCGGAGCTCCATATTCTGGTACTGTTTTGAGTTGTTTATTTAGGAATTTTTGTAGAATGAAATGTGATCTTAATTTGGTGCCAATGGCTTTGTTAGGGATTTTTTTTGTTAAGGGAATCAAAAGTTCAAAATTAGTTTCTTGATACTAAAAACTTAGAAATCTAAGTATGTTTGTGATAATTTTTAAATTTTTGGCTTTTGTAACTTACGAATTTTTCAGTCTTTTTCACCAAAACAAACTCTAATGTTATAGAATGATAAGAATACTTCGAATTTGTTTTGAGCTTATCATTGGAAACAATTTGGACTAAGAGTTACAAAAGTTCAAAATAAGCTAAATGACCATGAAAATTTACAATTTCAAAATTTATGAATTTATTTTTAATTATTTCAAAAATTATTCTTGACCTATAGTCTACCTATTTTGATAAAAACTTCAAAATTTTAAGCTATTTGAATTTTACTGAATTCTTCTATGAATAAATATTTATCTAATAAATTATTCTTAAATTAGCATGTTTTGGAAAAATTTATTAGAAATCTTCTAATCTAAATTTCGATTTGTTTTTAAAATATTTTCACCCAACCTCACATTGTTACTAATTTTGTACTATAATCTATAAGTTTTTAAGTTTTGAATGTTTTATGTAAATTATTAAAAAATATTAATTTTAATTTTGAATCAAAATTAGTTTCGGTTAGTGAAAAGGGTGCCATACCCTAAATACCTTAGAATGATAATCATGGAGTCATGGTTTGTTTTTATAAGTTAGCAGTGTTGATTTCAAATTTTGAGTATTTTGAATTAATAAAGCTTGAAGAAGATTATGATTCTTTGTTATTTGGTTTTGGTTTAGCGAATCAGATAAGTGTTTGATATTCCCTTAGTGTTTTTACATCCTAAAAATTAACCTCAATATAATTTTGTATATGATATATGATATATGATATTTTATCCTATGATTTGTTAAATTAGGTGAACATATTAATATATATATATATATATATGATCTCTATTTTGGTTTTTGGAATACAATCTCGATTTTTGTTTTGAAATGTGATTTTTGTTTAATGTATGCATATATGATATTTGTAAATAAAAACATAAAATATTTTAATTTGAAATGAATATGCTTTAATGTGCACAAGATGTGTTTTGGGAAGTGATATATTATTTTGTGAAATTAGGTAATCTAAAAATATGTTTTGTTTTGTCTTCTAGTATGGCTATGCTTTGACTCTGCCAATAAAGGTTAAATTTTGGTCATGTTAACATATATTTTGTGATTAGAGACTGATCTCCCAATCGCACATCTGGTTATAGAATAATAGCATTTGTGTTATCTGTTTAGATAGCACCATCGATTATAAAATAGTAATTTTTGTGATATTTGTTCAAAGCGGCCAATGGTTCTTTTTTATATACTTCTAACCCATGTTATTAAGATTAATTGTGGTTTGGATTCTGACCCATGATACTGGGGTTAATTGTGATTTTATTTTTGACTTATATCATAGGAGTTAAGTGTGATTATAGTATGTTACAAGAAACCAATAAAATTTGAAATGTATTGTGAAATTATGTTTTGTTATGTTACCTAAAGGTTTCAAAATTTTGTTTGCTCTATTATTCAAAGTGAAATTGTATTGACTTCGATTATATGAAAATATGATTTTAAACATGTTTATGAATAAGATTACCCAAAACTATGTTTTGATATCTATATAATTAATGATAATTTTGACTTAAATATTTTGAGCATGTTTAATTTGACTGAAAGGATGTTAATTACTTGCTAAGTTGTTATACTCATTCCTATTATTTTTTATCATTTTTACTGATTTTGACATTTTTGCATGGTTGGGAATTAATTAGATTGGCTTGGTGAGAATTTGGTTAGCAAAATTAGCGTATGCTTTTGGATATTTACATATTTTGATGTGAGTATTCGATTTTAGTTTATAAAGGGATGTTAGCTGGATGAAAAAAAATTATATATATTTTATATTTAAAGATTTAAAATTTTGTAAAGTGTAAAATTTTAGAGACTTTGAAGATATTACATTTGATTTATTATGATTTTATTGCCTGATATATTTATAAAATTTCGTCGCATGAATATATGGTGTCCGTCTGATTCCTAAACCTTGAATTTGGGGCATGACAATTACCTTGTTAGGCTATGTTACTTTTTGCGACAACTACCCCACATTATTATTTACAAATCTGAGATCTCCTTAGCCGATGGAATTGACTTCTGCATAGGCCAGGTCAAGGACTTAAGGTATCTAGTAAAGTCTTGCAACCGTCTAAAGAATCCATTTAACAGCAAAATAGACTGGTTTCAGATTCTATTTTCCTACTTCCTTGTCCTTTATAAGCCCCCCATTGCCCATTATTAGTTCAGTTTGCAAGTTTGTACGATTGGCAAAGCTTTGACATCAAAAGTTAAAAAGGTAAAAATTAATTTATCTTGTTTTGTTAGAAAAAGTGATTGATTTATTATGGTGAAGATAATTTATCATAATTTTTTTTAAATTAATATTTAATATATTAACAGTGTATACTATCAACTCACCAAATCTTAATATTTTATTAATGAAGGTAAAAAGTAAACATTATTTTGAACAAAATAAAAGGTTAAATATTAAAATCTAATACCGTTTTGAGACTTTATTATTATTATTTCTTTCAAAATAATATTCACTTTTTACCTTATTAAATAAAGTGTTAAGTTTTAGTGATGTGACAGTGTATAGAAGTTATTCATTATCAGTGCATTAATTATTTATTTTTTTTTGTTTGACAATTTGCTTGATTACCATGAATAATTAACACTTTCATATACTGAATTGACTTGTTACATGAATGATAAAACACGTTCTGTAAATCTCCAGGAGTGGTTTTATTCTTATGAAAATTCCTTGCATGCTAGCATTCATTAATTGGACCGATAATGTTGCCCAAGAATGAGTCAAGTCCATGTGGTTAGCTTAGCTGTGAGGAGTGCAAAACTAACACTGATTTGGATATGCAGATTGAGAAATTTATTAAATGCCATACTTACCTAACTCCCTCAAGTTGATACTATCCACAATGAATATCAATTCCAGTACAGTCAACCTCAGTGTCAAGTATTGTTGACATTGTACCTCCAAGTTAAGACATGCTTGGGTTTTCCCGATTTCTTGAGACATTCCAAATTGAATCATGGAGAGAAAATCAACTGAAGGCTTTCGAATGTGTTTTTTGTGCGCTTGTATGCTACTGTTTATCTTGGGAGCCTCTGCTGCAGCAGACAATATTACTCCAAACCAATCTATCCGAGACGGTGAAACTCTAGTTTCAGGTGATGGAAGCTTCGAATTGGGATTTTTCAGTCCACGTAATTCAACAAAGCGTTACCTAGGAATATGGTACAAAGTTTCTCCGGAGACAGTAGTTTGGGTAGCCAACCGAGAGGCTCCTCTTACCAATCATTTTGGAGTTTTAAATGTCACTGAACAGGGTACTGTTATCATCCTGGATAAAAAACCTAGCATTATTTGGTCATCCAGTGGAATAAGAACTGCTGAAAACCCAGTTGTGCAGCTCTTGAACTCGGGAAATCTTGTTGTAAAAGATGGAAACGATAGTAGCTCAGAAAACTTCGTATGGCAAAGTTTTGACTATCCTTGTGACACCTTACTGCCTGCAATGAAGCTTGGAAAAAATTTTGTTACTGGCAGGAACTGGTCTCTAACGTCATGGAAGAGCCCAAATGATCCTGCTCGAGGCCAGTTTTCGGCGTCGATAGATCCTCAGGGGTTTCCTCAGCTAGTCGTTAGAAACGGAAGTGTAATACTTTATAGAGGAGGGTCATGGAATGGAAAACGTTTCACAGGGACTCCTGAGTTGGAACAGGTTGAATCTTCTAATTTGTTCAAGTATGAATTTGAATTGAATAAGAATGAGGTGTACTACAAAGGTGAGCCCTCTGGTTCACTGACTTCAAGGTTAGTTGTGAATCAATCAGGCTTTCTGGAGCGCTTTGTAGGACCAAACTTACGGCATGCCATCTATTTTGCTCCTCGTGATGAATGTGACTATTATGCAGTATGTGGTGTATATGCTATCTGCGTCACCGGTAACTCCCCATCATGTGCTTGCTTGGATGGTTTTGAACCAAAGTCCCCTATGGATTGGAACAATTTAAAATGGTCTGGTGGGTGCGTTCGAAGGACTCCATTTGATTGCAGAAGTTCTGTGTTTACAAGGCACCCTGGGATGAAATTGCCAGACACATCACATTCTTTTTTGAACAAAAGCATGAGTCTTACAGAATGCCAAGAAGAGTGCTTAAGGAACTGCTCTTGCATGGGGTATGCAAATTCAGATATCCAACGAGGAGGGAGTGGATGCTTGCTTTGGTTTGACAACCTTAATGATATGAGAGTATTCACCAGTGGAGGACAAGATCTCTACATACGGATGGCCAATTCAACATCAGGTATCTCTCTAGCAATTATATAATGAAGCAGGGAATTTAAATCGATCACTTACTTTTTCTTCCTAACTTTCCAAGAAGCTATTTGTTTAGTTATTTTGATATTGTTGTTTTGCTGAAAGAAATGAAAAGACAGTGTGAAGGAAAGAGGGGGATTCATAAACTAAAAGCATTTTTGGTGTTGCAGCTCCTCTTGTTCAAAGCAAAAACTCGAGTAAGAAGAAGAAAGTGGCACTTATTTTCATCCCAGTAATATTAATAGGAGTGATTTTGGGAGGATTGATCTTCTGGATGATGTGGAAGAAACTCAGAAAGCAAGGTAACTACTAACTTTACTGATCATGACCAATGGTTTTTGATTAATAGAAATGAAAGTCTACCAAAGTTTGGTAGATATTATGTTATTTTCAAACAAGGTAGTTGCTCATCATAGAATTATCATTTCATTTTTGACTAACTCTCTTTAATTCTCCTACTGTCTTATGAAAAGAACACAATAGGAGAAACAGTTACAACATTGAAGGTGGAAAGGACGGCATGGAGTTACCAATATTTGATTTAAACACTATAGTGAAAGCCACAGATAACTTTTCAAACAACAATAAGCTAGGACAAGGAGGTTTTGGACCTGTTTACAAGGTAAATTTAAGGAAATGCTAACTGGATTAGCTATGCTTTTCAGAAGAGAGAAAAATAGGAATGTTAACGTTTGTAAGTAATGATTTTCAGGGTACATTGCCAGACGGGCAAGAGATAGCAGTAAAGAGACTTTCTAAAAGTTCTGGGCAAGGATTGGAAGAGTTCAAAAATGAAGTTGGATTGATTGCAAAGCTTCAGCACCGGAATCTAGTGAGACTTCTTGGCTTTAGCATTGAAGGAGATGAAAAGATGTTGATCTATGAGTACATGCCCAACAAAAGCTTGGACTACTTTATTTTTGGTTTGATCCTCAAATCACAGCATTCTTTTCCATGTTTTCTCTGAGATTCAATTAGACAATGCACTAACATGGTTCAGACATTAATTAGATCAAACAAAAAGCAAAGTACTAGATTGGAAAAGGCGGATGCATATCATTGGTGGAATTGCTCGAGGACTTCTTTATCTCCATCAAGACTCTAGACTAAGGATTATACATAGAGATCTCAAAGCCAGCAATGTCTTACTAGACAATGATATGAACCCCAAGATTTCAGACTTTGGCATGGCAAGAACAGTTTGGGGTGATCAAACTGAGGCAAACACAAATAAAGTTGTTGGAACTTAGTAAGCAGCCTAAACATACACTGAGTTGCACTTAAATTTTAGTTTTGCCTTGCTTTTGGAAGCCTTGAGCCAATACCAGACTGTGCTATAACCATCTTATGTTATTTCTAAACTATTACTTTGTTTCCGTTGTTCTTTTTCTTTCAGTGGTTATATGCCTCCTGAATATGCTGTAGATGGACTCTTCTCAATAAAATCTGATGTCTTTAGCTTCGGTGTGTTAGTAGTTGAGATTATAAGTGGGAAGAAGAACAGAGGATTCTTCCACCCAGATCACAGCCATAATCTTCTTGGACATGTAAGCAGGAAGGAACAAAATATTCTTTAGAATTGACTGTTAAAAAAGCATTTCACATGTGATTGTAATGTTTCAGGCATGGAAACTGTGGACGGAAGAGAGGCCGTTGCAGTTGATTGACAGCACCTTGGGTGATTGTTTTGTGGTGTCTGAAGTTCTGCGATGTGTTCATGTGGCTCTGCTATGTGCCCAAACACGACCAGAGAATAGGCCAAATATGTCATCCGTAGTTCTAATGTTAGGTAGTGAGAATCCATTACCTGCACCAAAACAGCCTGGTTTTTTCACTGAAAGGAATCTGCCTGAATCAGAATCTTACTCATCAAGCCATCACGAATCAGCTTCAGTAAATGAAGTTACCATCTCAGAGGTAGAGGCACGATAGAAGATGGATCCTTGACAAAAGGAATGAAGCATTGCATGGTTTCCATGGATAAGAAGACATGAATAGCCTACAAACTTCTGGGGTAAAATATTGTCCCTGTCTGTTGCCTATCTAAAGAGCTATAGTGATTTTAATTAAGCAGGTTTGTAGATATATAACTACACTCACCAGACAATGGGCTGAAGATATGCAATTTTCTTGGCAATAATGAGCTAAGACATGTGTTACCTGGTATAGTTGATATCCATTTATCTCTTTCTCTGCAACCTCTTCAGTTGTCTATCACTGTTTTTAAGTTGCAAAAGTACAATGACTCTAGTCTCTTTACTGAAACACTAAAAACATGCCCATTGTACATCAGAGTCAAACCTGATCAAAATAAAGCCTATTAATCAGAGCTCTATCAGCTGCATTATTAGTCTACACTACCTCTCACTGAGCTAGCTAGGATTTGCAATAAAATGTTTATAAAGAATATGATGTTGGAATTCTAGCAGAATTCTTGTGCTCACCAACCCTCTGAGGATATCTGTACTTGTTTAGATTATACGATGATGAAGTACATATAGAGCTACTCAGTTGCTTCATCAATGGATTTTTTACAGTAAAACTGACTCTGACTGCCGTTGTTTGGCTATTTTCTGAATTGCCTTTCAACTCTGTCTTAATTGTTTATGACCTTCATAAAAAATTAGTTGAGACTGAGACTTCAGTAACATCCTCTGCAAAGCTTGATAACGTGGTTTGACACAGGAAGTGTTCTGATCCATGTTTCAGTAAACCATAATAAAACTCAGAAAGAATTAATTCCTTTTTCCATGTAGCCAAGTAAGCATTTGAGGGAAATGAACAAACCTAGGCTTTTGTAGCGTGGATCATCAATTTGGTTTCCAGTAAGTTTTAGTTAAGAAATTACTAAATGAACACCTTTAGAATAATTCTGAAAATTCAAAAGACTTGGAAGAAATTCAGATATCTTGTTATCGAATAAATTTTCAGTAGAAAGTTGGAGTAGGATCCTGTTTACTCGAATTTCCTTCTGATTGGGAATTGGGATGCCTAATACTAGTAGTATTCACTGTGTGGTGGTATCCAACAAAAGATAATACTTAATGAAAAAAAGAGAGGGTATGTTAGAATGTTAAACGGTTTATTAAGATAATAATTGATGTTGAGGATTTGCTTGTTGTCAGATGACATTAAGAACAATAGGAGCATTAGTATGCTGCAGAAACTGCAATATCCTTGCCAAAAGAATTTCAATCAAACATGCTAAAATCCTTCATTTTGAAAGAGAGTTAGTTTTGTTTGTATAATTAGTTGCAGCTTGAATTGGTAGGGCAGTCTGCAGTGATTTTTGTGATAAACTTGACCCTTTGGCACTTGCCTACTTTTCAGGATTTCCCTTCTTAAACTGGCATCTCGAAATTGAAGTGTCAATCCTGTCATTCTTTATGGTTTAGCTTTACAAACAAATAAAATCACATTAGGTTAAAATCCTGTTAATTGTCATCTTGTTACCCCAGTCCTGTCGGTTCTTTGGTTTTGGCATTCTGTTGAGCAGTCAATGATCTTAAATATCAGTTATATTTGAAAAATGAAGAACACTGGTTTACATTAAATGTTTAAATGCGGTAAGCTAACAGAAAGAACAGAGAGAAGAACTGAGAAAAGGGTACTAACTCAATTAAATTTCATTAATTGAAAGCATGTATACATCTCTGCATAAGCAGTATGCAACACAAGAATTAATTCAAACAAAGGATCATTAGTTCTTCTGGTATACTCTTAACAGAATGCAGAAGGCATAAATCCTGTCTGTGCATGCATACGCCGCATGTCACTGTCACAAAACAAAGGCAACAAGTAAACCAAAAAAATGACAGACAAAAGCATGTGCAAGGGTGGATGAGGGTCTGTCATCCAAGTCTCACTCTCAATACATACGTTCCGGATTCTTTTGACCAGGACAGTATTTATTTCTTTTCAATTTTTGAAAAAAGACAAGTAAATTTTACAAAATCAAGTGTCATGATACTGTTTGACTTTGAAGAATAATTATACATTACCGTTCCCTTCAATGGGAAGTGCTACACCATCTCCACTATTATTGGTATATTTAGAAAAGGCCATGCATATGATGAAGATGACAGAAACAACAGATACTTTGATGGGATTCTCACGGTGCTGCCGATGAAAACTATATGCAACAACTGAGAAAATGTATTGAACAATGGCACAAATCAAAGCAAACATGTCGATGAAGGAATAGAGAGGCTTGGCGGTTGAAGATGGGGGCTGAAACCAACATCTCATGCCCTGCCGCTTAAAAACAAGTTTTGCTTTACTTCCCCTATCAAAGAGCTCCATGATGCAAATGAACATGGCAAAAAGAGACACGACCATGGCGATTAGTGAATAATGAGGTTTTCTTGGGAAGGCACATTGCTCCAAAGCCACCAAAAAAATCTCTAAAATTATATTGCTGAGCATAAAGCTGCATTCCGAATTGACCTACAAAATTGAAATAAAAGGGTTTTAGTGGCTAAGCTCTCGTAGCAGCTGCTGTGTTTTTAGACCAAATGTGCTTATCATGTCTCAAGAACAGTTACGAATGGACATTTTTCTAATTTAGTACGACCAACAAAATAACAATCTTGCATTGAAAAGATATCAATCAAGGTAATATGAATTTGGTGTCAATGAAAGACCTATGCATCCAACCAAACCATGGATATTTTGATAAGAGTCACCACTTTTGTCTTCAAAATTAAATTTATGAGTAAAAACTCAAATATAGGTTTGCGTTTCTATCTGCAATATATATAGTTCAAATCCAAATCTTCAAAAAGAACAGACTGATTCATATCAAAACTCAAAAAAAGGTTCATGAACCAGGTTCAATTGCAGCGGGTTACAGTGGGACTCTAGTGGATATGAATATCATATCAGTTTTCTTGGTTCTGGAATTTACAGAAAGAAAAGAAGGGATGCTTCTAAGTTTTGAGTTCTTGGACAATCCTTGAATTAGCAAAACAATTATTTCTAAGCAACCTAGTGTGTGCTGGAGTTGCAACAAATCAAACTGGGAGAATTCTAATGGAAGAGGCATATACTTACAGTTTTGAACCAACATTGGAGGGCTACTTTTAAGGGATCCTTCTCAAACACAGCAAAAAGCTTCCAAATCTACAAACCAAGGGATTTTCTACTCACTTTCCAAGAAAACTACATGTTCGAGACTAGTAACAGCTTAATAATGTACCTTGACACTTTCAGCATGTGGTAAGATATCTAATGTAAAAAAACTTTAAAGAAAAAGAATTGTGAATTCAGATGGGATTGAGTATTGATTAATGAAACTTACAGGTCCAGAATATTTAATGCATTTTGGAGACTTGCCATGACTAAGTTCTCTGCCCTCACCAATATCCAACCTTCAATGCCAGGGTGGAAATTAAAATTTTGAATCAGTATAGCACTAAACAAGGCTTCATTTTTGTAATTCCCAACTTTTTCAAGTCAGTTTTATGCTTGGCCCAAAAAGAAAAGATAAAAGATCAGTTTTAAGGAGTGCATCACCAGTAGAAGAAAGGTTCTCTGCTCTGGCTTTCAGACCAGGCATCATATTGGGGACATAAATCGTGTCCATTACGATGGCGCGGGTCAATCTGCAAGAACATAAAAAAAGAACAGTTACTAATGGACATTTTTCTAATGTAGAAACAATCTTGCACTGAAAAGATATCAATGAAGGCAATATCAATTTGGTGTCAAGGAAGACCTATGCATCCAACCCAAATTCACCATTTTTGTATTCAAAATTAAATCTAGAATTAAAAGCTTACAAAAATGTAGTCCCGTTAATTTGTTTGTCAAAATCTGATTTACTATCTCCAACCCAAATTTTCTAAAAGCACAGACTGATGTATATCAAAAGTCAAAAGGTTCATCAACCAGGTTCAATTACGGAGGCTTACAGTGAGACTCCAGAGAATATAAATGTGCTACATCAGTTTTCTTGTTTCTGGAATTTACAGAAAAAGAAGAATGGAAAACTCTTCCAAGTTTTGTGTTCTTACATAAAACTTGAACTAGCAAAACAGTTGCTTCTAGGCAACCTAATGTGGGCTATCGTACAAATCGAAACAGGGAGAATTTGGAAGAAGCATATACTTACATTTTGCAGCCAATGTTGGAAGCGGTTTAGATTCTTGTTAGACAAACCTTTCCGAACCTACAAACATTAAAGGATTTTCTAGTCACTTCCCAAGAAGACCACACGTTAAAGACTAGTAACAGCCTCATAATGCACCCTGGCACTTTCAGCAGGTGGCAGCCGTGGTGTGGAAGTTTCTGGTTTCAGTGATATTTCCTGTCGAGAACCTTTCATTTGGAAATCAATTTCATCAACCATCAGAATCTTTTCTGTTGGGCTCGGCAAGATATGGCCATTAGGAACAATGGTTTCATTCGGTTTCTACGACAAATTGTAATTAGATGCAGCTTCTGTTTCCATCAAGTTCCACCTACAATGTTTGAATAAATATAAAAACCAAATTATACAAACCAGAAGCAACCAACAAAAAGGTAGCACGAAATTAATATTATTAGGAGACAGACCAGAGCTCCTCGGCCACAACTGCAAGATCTGTCAGACTCCTCCTTGTCCTATAACTTTTGTAGACTTTTTGTATCATAGTTGCAGCAGCATCAAGTTCACCAACGGGCTTTGGAGGCAGCGACATCATCAATTTATGGTGCTTTGTAGTGGGCTCTGTTATTTGAACTTTTCCATGCAGTTTATCATCGGAATCACCATCCTTGATGCTTATGGACCTCTCCATCATTACATTACCCAAACCATCAAATTTGCCAAGAGAGTCCGTATTATCATTATCTTGTTGAAAATGTCCCATTAATTAGCAAAGTATGCAAGGGCTGGGCAGGTGAATTGTACCGGTTGTATCATACAGGCCGCTGGCAAGCAGTTTCAACGGTCAAAAAGCTACTGCCCCTCCCCCTACCTGGAAAATACGAGGCAATTCGAAAACAGTTAAACTTTTATGTGTTTTATTTTTATTTTTTTTTCCGAAGACTTAAGTCCAATAGAAAACACAATTGAACTTTACGTGTTAGGCATAAATAATTTCTCCCATTTCCATGAAAGAGCCAGAAGGAAAGAACTCAATATGATACAAATTTTTACTCATACTACAAGTGGGGATGATAAAAATATTAAAGACAATGATATTGATACTAACCTTAAAATTAATTTTTAAGTTTTTAAGTTTGGTGTTCTAACACATTATGCATCACCGTCATCAATTTGAAGAAGAGATGCAAGACTAGAAATTGAGAAACCAGTGGAAGGCTTTTCAATGGAGCTTTCCTTGTGCTTGTTTCTTTTCTTTGTTTTAAGAGCCTGTACACTATACACTATTACTCTTGGAAAATCTATAAAAGATGGTGAAACTCGTCTCAGCTGATGGTAGCTTTGAATTGGGATTTTTCAGCCCAGATAGATCAAAAAGCCGATATTTAGAAGTTTGGTACAAAGTATCTACTAGAACTGTTGTATGGGTAGCCAAACAGAAAAGCTCCTATTTCTGATTTCTCAGGAGTTCTAAGTTTCAGTGACCAAGGAATTCTGGCTCTTCAGAATAGCACAAAAAGCATTGTTTGGTCTTCCAATACGTCAAGAACAGCACACAACCCAGTTGCTCAGCTATTGGAGTCAGGGAATTTTGCAGTGAAAGACAGAAATGAGAGTAGCCTGGAGAACCTTATGTCGCAAAGTATTGATTATCCTCGTGATAATTTTTTACCAGGAATGAAGCTTGGTAGAAATTTTGACACTGGTTTTGAGATATATATATCATCCTGGAAAAGCATAGATGATCCAGCTCAAGGCGAATATTCTTTAAGGATAGATCACCGTGGACTCCTACAAATAGTGGTCAGGAAGGAATCAGAAACATTGTTTAGATCAGGGGCATGGAATGGTCATTATTTCCTAGGCCGGAAGCCTAATCTTAAATCAGGTACTTTATGTTCATATGAGCTAGTCTTGAACAGGAAGGAGATATACTTCAAATATGAGCTCCAAAACAATTCAATTCTATTAAGGTATGCAATGAACCCGTCAGGTCTCATGCAACGGTTCACATGGAACGAAAGGAACCATGATTGGCTGATTTTCTTCACACCTCAGGCAGATCAGTGTGCTACTTATGCTTTATGTGGCGCATATGCTACCTGCAGCACCAACGGGTCTCTTCCATGTGAATGCCTGGAAGGATTTGTGCCCAAAACCCCAGCTTTTCGTGATTGGAATACAGGAGAATGGTCTGAGGGATGTCTTTGGAGGACACCATTGGTTTGTGATGGTGGAGATGGCTTTCTCAAGCAGACTCTGTTGAAATTTCCAGATACTTCACATGCTTGGGCTAACAACACCATGAGTTATAGACACTGCATTAGGCGATTCTTACATTATAGCTGAAGTGTTAAGATGCATCAATGCAGCTCTCTATGTGTGCAACAGCACCCAGATGACAGACCAAATATGTCATCTGTGCTGGTATGTTGGCTGGTGACAGTACATTGCCTCAACCAAATCTGCCTGGTTATTTCTTTGTAAGAAATCTGCATTCAACCATGTCCACATCAAGCAAGCATGAATCTCAATCAAATGAATTCATGATTACTTTGTTAGAGCCATGCTAGAAGCTATCATATCATAGAAAGAAATTGTAACAGGACAGTGTCACAATTAAAGGAGATTATTTCTTTGTTATGTCTTGGTGCTTGCTTCCTCTTTTTCTGCTATCAGTAAAGTTCTACACTAAACTTGAAAAATCTACAGCAAGGTCTGTCATAAACTCAATTAATGCAGTTGTTTACAAATATCTAAAGGTTGCAAATGTAATTAAAAGCATCCTGATGTTGCCATCCAATTGGAACTTCATCATGCCTATGATCATTTATTGATTAATTATTAAAAATTTCTTTCATTCATTCAAAATCACAAAATTAAGCCTTTATGATTAGACTTTAGAAGATGACTTACTGCCAATGGGGTTTACCTTGTGACTTCTTTTGTTTAGTTTAATTCAAGGTAAATGACTGATTAGCTGCCCTTCTGACAAATAAAAGTTTGCATGCATGATAGAACAGGAAAAAATTTAATCAAATGGAAGCCAGCTGTATGTGTTTCAGTCAAACCGAGCACATAGTTCTTTGAAACGTTGATGCATTGTGTAATATCAACAATTTTGAACTTTCTAGTACCATCTGACAGAGACATGCACTAGAAATTGTACCTGTCCTAAGAAGCTGTAGAGACAACAAGATCTTCTTCTGCAATTTCCTATTCCATTTTTTGGGAAACAAAATTATCGTTATTGAGAGTTCATTTCAATTTTATTTCAGCACCCAGAAAGCACAACTTATCTATCTCTAATTGCTGGTGGATAGTGCCAGCAGCAAACCTTGAAAGGCAGTAAAAGATGCGAGCCTGAAAAGCTTTCCTTCTTATAATAAAAAACATAAATAACAGACATGGGATATAGGTAATTCTTGGAAATCCAAAAGATGTATTCCCCCTTTCCAAAAATTTGGATAGAACTTGGTAGTTTTAACTCAACTTGGTAAGGGTGGCCTCCGCCTGACATTAGTAACTTTAGCACAAGATTGCCTAGCAGTCAGAAACACAAAAATTACAGTCAAAGCAGCAACTTTTTCTATGCTATTTCTATTTTCACATATCCTTTTTCAATCTTTTCTGTTTGAACCATGGACCACAACAGTAGACGTAGAAACTTCCAGTTGAGTAACGTAAATGAACTTTGTTATTGCCAATTCAATGACTCTTGGATTCAAGAAAACCTAGAAAACCATGGGTGATATTCTGATAGGCCTTCATTTGTTGAAATATGCAAAAATTTCTCATATTAGGAATTCATATTCACAACCAGGGATGCATTTTTGTTTTATTGTCAATTGTCAGGTCAATACTTCAACTGTATATCCTCAAAAATTATGTTCTTATTACTGAGGACTGCTGATGGCAGTTTAAAAAACATGACAAACGTGGGATAGGATCTACCAGAAACTAGAGCTTGTTTTACTTTTCTAAAACTCCTCCTTCCATCAATTATTACTGTCTTTGAATAGACAAAGTCCATTATTAGCAAAATAATGCAAGGTTTCTCAATGGAGCTTGTTCTCTGTTTGCTTCTTTTCTTTATTACAAGAACTTCTGCACTAAACACTATTACACCAGGCCAATCCATAAAAGATGGTGAAACTCTGGTGTCAGCTGGTGGAAGCTTTGAACTGGGATTTTTCAGTCCCGGGAATTCTAAGAGTCGATATCTAGGAATTTGGTACAAGAAAGTATCAAGTGGGACTGTTGTATGGGTAGCGAACAGGGAAGCTTCTATTTCTGATACCTCAGGCGTTCTAAGTATCAGTGACAGGGGAATTCTCGCAATTTTGAATAGCACCAATAGCGCTGTTTGGTCTTCCAATACATCAAGAAATGCAAAGGACCCAGTTGCACAACTCCTGGAGTCGGGTAATTTTGTGGTGAAAGACAGAAATGATGATGATACGGAGAACCTTCTTTGGCAGAGTTTTGATTATCCTTGTGATACCTTTCTACCAGGAATGAAGATTGGAAGAAACTTTGTCACTGGTTTTGATAGGTATATATCATCCTGGAGAAGCACAGAAGACCCTGCTCCAGGCCAATATAGTATCAGGATAGATCCTCGGGGGTTGCCACAGTTTGTTCTTAAGAAGGGACCTGAAATATTGTTTAGAGCAGGATCATGGAATGGTGTTTACTTTACAGGGAAACCAGTGCTTAAAGCTAATCCAGTATATTCATATGAGTTCGTCTTGAATAAGAATGAGGTCTACTACAAATATGAGATGCAAAACAGTTCCACCTTTTCAAGGTACTTATTGAATCCATCAGGTCTAGCACAACGCTCCATATGGAATGAGAGAAAAAATGACTGGGAGGTTTTCTCAATAGCACAAGCAGATCAGTGTTCAATCTATGCCTTTTGTGGAGCATATGCTACTTGCACCACCAACAAGTCTCCTCCATGTACATGCTTGGAAGGGTTTGTGCGGAGTTCAGCATCCTCCACAGATTTGAACTCTGTAGATTGGTCAGATGGATGTACTCGAAGGACACCATTGACGTGTGATGATGGAGATAGCTTTCTCAAGCAGACTAGATTAAAAATACCAGATACATCGATATCTTGGGCAGACATGAGCATAAATCTCAAGGAATGTGAGAATTTGTGTTTGAAAAATTGCTCTTGCACAGCTTATGCAAATTTAGATATCAGAGAGGGAGGCCATGGCTGCTTGCTGTGGTTTGGGGACCTAATTGACATCTCAGACTTCACGGAGGGTGGACAAGACATTTACATCAGGCTGGCCACTTCAGATCTAAGTAATATTTCTTCTGTCTTTTGCACTTAGACTGATCAATGAAATTGGACATGTGATGCTGCTGATGCATGAAAAAGATTTACATTTTCAGCACCAATTGATTTAGGAGATGTGCTCAAACTCAGAACTTTTTCGATCATTCTTCAAATCTTTCAGATCACATTCAACGCAAAGGAAAGTTGAAGGAAAAGCAAAAAGCAGGAATTATAATCATCTCTCTCATTATAGCCACAGGAATGATGATAGTTGCATTTTTGTTGTATATCCGGAAGAAAAAGCTTAGAAAAGCAGGTAAACGAATTCAGTTACCAACGAAAAGCACTATCAAATAACAAATATACCTATTAACAATTTAATTTTTTTCTTGGAAATGAAAATAAAGCAAATTTGACTGAAAATGAAATTGGAATGTCAGACTATATTAGCTATTTTGTTTACATTTGAAAATTCTCAGTATTACAATCAGTTGTCAATCCATCTTATACTAGTTCAATGATAATCAGGTGAACAGGAAAAGGAAGAACTAGAATTGCCAGTATTTGATTTCGCGACGATAGCTAAGGCAACAAATAACTTCTCAAGAAACAACCAGCTGGGACAAGGTGGATTTGGTCCTGTGTACAAGGTAAATAAGCAATACCTTATAAGTTGTCTTTCACTCACTATTCCTTGACATTTTTACACATTATAAATTTTAAGGGTACATTGATAGAGGGGCAAGAAATAGCAGTAAAGAGACTTTCAAAGAATTCAGGACAAGGACCAGAAGAGTTCAAAAATGAAGTAACATTGATTGCCAAACTTCAGCACCGCAATCTTGTAAAGCTCTTTGGTTGTTGCATCAGGAGAGATGAAAGGATGTTAATCTATGAGTACATGCCTAACAAAAGTTTGGACTACTTTATTTTCGGTTTGAACCTAATATCTCAGAACTTCTTTTTATGCCAGTCTTGCATTTTCCATTTTTGTTATTTCTTTTTGTTTCTTTTTTGATGTTCTGCTTGAGTTCTTAGCTTATAGCCAGGGCAATTGTTGGTTGCAGATCCAACAAGAAGCAAATATCTGGACTGGCACAGCCGCATGCATATTGTTGATGGAATTGCTAGAGGGCTTCTTTATCTCCACCATGACTCTAGATTGAGGATTATCCATAGAGATCTCAAAGCAAGCAATATCTTACTAGATAATAGTATGAACCCAAAGATTTCAGATTTCGGGTTGGCTAGGAAGTTTGGAAGTGATCAGACTGAGGCCAATACTAAAAGAGTGGTCGGAACATAGTATGTTTAGCAAGACTTGTCTGGTACTTTTGTCCCATGTTCCTTTCAAAGTTCTAATTTAACATTATTTTTTGCAGCGGTTATATGTCACCTGAGTATGCCTTTGATGGGCTTTTCTCAATGAAATCTGACGTCTTTAGCTTTGGAGTTTTGGTTCTGGAGATAGTAGCTGGAAAGAGAAACAGAGGATTTTCCCATCCGGAACATGACCATAATCTTCTTGGACATGTAAGACTAAGCTATAACAGTTTACTTTTCTGTTTCAAAGAATAATATCAGTTCTGGTTTCAACTTTTCAGGCATGGAGATTGTGGATGGAAGAGAGGCCATTAGAACTAATTGACAATGCATTAGGTAACTCTTATATTGTGGCTGAAGTTTTAAGATGCATCAATGTAGCTCTATTATGCGTGCAGCGACACCCTCAAGACAGACCTAACATGTCAATGGTGCTGCTGATGTTGTCCGGCGAGACTATATTGCCTCAACCGAAGCAGCCTGGCTTTTTCATTGAAAGAAATCTGCCACTGACTTATTCTAAATCAGTCAAGCATGAACCATTCTCAGTATATGGATCAAATATAACAGAGCTAGAACCACGTTAACAGCTCCTCATACCATAAAAGCTCTAAGAGTATTCCTAAGAGTGTATGTTAAACATTCATACATTTCAAAATTAATGACAATGGTTTTTTCTTTTGACTTTTCTCATTTCTGTCCTTCAATGTTAGCTGTCTCCTTTGCCATGAGTATAGTTCTCTGAGTAAACATATCCATATTCTAGAGCAAGGGGAGTTCTTGTTCTGGCTGGTTAGCTAGGTGGTTTATGGTGGATTCTAGCATCTGCATCTTGTACTATAATTCAAGTTCCTCCTCAATGGTATGTTATTATATTTAGTAGATAGATACCTTAAGGTTTAACAACCTTACTTTGGAATTTTTATATAGTATCACTTGAACCAACATAATAGGAAACTTATGCAGTTCATGGAAGAAATGAGTTAAGATTTGTGTTGAGGCACTTCTCTAATTTCTGTGAGAACACAAGTTTACACCATGAATGCTTCAACGTTCATTTAATAGATTGTAAAAGGTTTCTTGAATTCATTCAAAATGATAATTAGCATAGGCTTGTAGAATGTAGATTTGGTCCTTAATTATTCCACCTTGGGTATCATTAACAGGAGGGTTAATGTTATAGTCAACTGGATTTACAGATTCACACTTCTGATGTTTAATTTGAGGAAATGACCAACTAGCTGCATCAAACAAGATATAATTTTCATCAAATGCGACCCATCTGCATCTGCTTAAGAAAATATAATGGGAAAGCACAAAAAGGTTGCAATACAAGACCTTACTGTTTCAGCAGAAATATTTGATGTTGACTGGTGTTTGGACAATTTTGTCTGCATGTATCAGAAGTTGGAACTAACTCAAGACCTCCTTTTGCATAATATTCCTTTTCCACTTATTTGGGAAAGTTACGGGAAAGCACCTGAGGGAACACCAACTAATTCTCTGTTTGGAATGCAGGAAAGCCGCAAGCCTCACCCTCTAGGAATTAGGAAATGGTAATCTTCTCTGATATTGAAAAGAAAAATGTATATGTACTTTAATTGGGAATAGTTCAATCCAAAAGGAATTTACACTTACCCTATGTGTTTATATATCCTTATTAGTTTCAAGGCTACGATCATGAAAATCCAATGGAGATTAGTTTTTTTTTTTTTCTCCTTTTTTATGTTTGTTTGTTTTGAAGGTCAAGATAGGTTGCTGTCCATCGGAGTTACTCAGATGCTCCATCAATGACTTTTGAAGAGAAACGCTGAGTTGACTTTTGACTATTGGCTGCTATGCTTTTTCAGCTGATGATTAAATTGATATTAAGACTTAATTACCATCCTCATTGAAGACATCTGATAACGCTATTTGAACCCGGAACTTTCCTGCTCCCATGTCAGAATAAACAGTAAAATCTGGGAAACCAAGAACTGCCGACCTACTTCCACGTTGACAAGCACAGGGTACCCTAAGTAGGACCTGAAGAAGCGTAAACAAGAAAAATTATAGGGCTGTTTCTGCTTTTGGGTGGCTTTACTTTCCTAATCCCTTCCCGAATTAAAGAATGCATGCTTAGAAAATCTATGGAAGGCTCTAAATGGAGATTGTCTTGTGCTTGTTTATGTTCTTCTTTTTGATTATAGAAACCTTCACACAAGACATTATTATTCCAGGACAGTCCATAAAAGATGGTGAAACTCTTAGATCAGCTGGTGGAAGCTTTGAACTGGGATTTTTTAGTCCTGGAAGTTCGAAGAACAGATTTGTAGGAATATGGTACAAGAAAATATCTCCTGGCACTGTTGTTTGGGTTGCGAACAGGGAAACTCCCATTTCTGATAGGTCAGGAGTTCTAAATATCACCAGTCAAGGAATTCTTGCTCTTTTGAATAGCAGCAATAGTCTTGTTTGGTCTTCAAATACATCAAAAATTGCAGAGAGTCCAGTTGCACAGCTCCTGGAGTCAGGAAATCTTGTAGTGAAAGAAAGAAATGACGACAACTTAGAGAACGTTTTGTGGGAAAGTTTTGACTATCCTTGTGATAACCTTTTATCTGGAATGAAGCTGGGAAGAAACTTTGTCACCGGTTTTGAGAGGTATATATCATCCTGGAAAAGCACAGAAGATCCTACTCCAGGCCAATATTCTTTAAGGATCGATCCTCGCGGATATCCACAATTAGTTCTTAAGAAGGGATCAGAAATATTGTTTAGAGCTGGGTCATGGAATGGTCTATATTTTTCAGGTAAGTCTGGTCTTGAGCAAAATCCAGTATATTCATATGACTTTGTCTTGAATAACATGGAGGTCTATTACAAATATGAGCATCGGAACAGTTCATTTGTGTCGAGGTATTCACTGAATCCACTGGGTGCTATTCAGCGTTTCATGTGGAATGAGAGGAAAAATGATTGGGAGATTTTCTCTACGGCTCAGGCAGATCAATGCGCAATCTATGCCTTTTGTGGAGCATATGCTACTTGCACAACCAATAAGTCTCCTCCATGTACATGCCTGGAAGGCTTCGTGCCGAGGTCAACTAATTCAGGAGATTTGAATTCTGTAGATTGGTCTGATGGATGTATTAGGAGGACACCCTTGGTTTGTGAGGGTAAAGATGGATTTCTTAAGCACACAGGGTTAAAGTTACCTGATACGTCACATTCTTGGGCTAACAAGAGCATAAGCCTCCAGGAATGTGAGAAAATATGTTTGAGAAATTGTTCTTGCACAGCATATGCAAATTTAGATATTTTGAAACGAACAGGATGCTTGATCTGGTTTAATGATCTGACTGACATGACCGAATTCACCGAGGTGGGACAAGACCTCCATATACGGCTGGCTGCTTCAGAGCTAGGTAAGACCTTTGCAATCCAAGGTTTTTTGGCATTTTCTTATATTCTGTGAAGATAAGTTTGAATATGTGCAATGTCAGTATATGAAAATAACTTGGAATTGGTGATGCTGAGGTTTTGGCCGAAGCTACTTTTTCAACAACTTAATTTTTTTTCTTTTGTTTCCTTTGCTACCTTCACTTCTCTTTGTGACATAGATTCCATGAATAGTCTGGCATGTTACTAAAAGGTTTATGATATATATCTGTTCATCTGAACTCAAAACCTTGTTCACTGAAAACTTTTTGATTTATGCCAGATCGCATTCAAAGTAAAAGGCAGTCAAAGGAAAAGCTTAAAGCAGGAATTATAGCCATCTCCATTGTAATTGCTACAGGATTGACGATACTGGTATTTGTGTTGTATGTATGGAAGAAAAAGTTTAGGAAGGAAGGTAAGCAAACTTAATTGCAGAACTTTTAATTACAAATTGCCGGGGGTGCCAATATTATCTTACACTTGTTCCGGAATGATCAGATGAGAAGAAGGAAGAGATGGAGTTGCCTATGATTGATTTTGCAACCATAGCTAATGCAACAAATAACTTCTCAGAAAACAACATGCTTGGGCGTGGTGGCTTTGGTCCTGTGTATAAGGTAGTAAAGCAATCTGCTGTAACTTTGTTCCTTGTTTTTTGCTACTTGCTTATTACTACTTTATATATTATGAAATGCAAGGGTATTTTGGTAGAGGGGCAAGAAATAGCAATAAAGAGACTTTCGAAGAATTCTGGACAAGGCCTTGAAGAGTTCAAAAACGAACTTACACTGATCGCCAAACTTCAGCATCGAAATCTTGTGAAGCTTTTTGGTTGTTGCATTAAGGGAGAGGAAAGGATGTTAATCTATGAATACATGCCCAACAAAAGTTTGGACTATTTTATTTTTGGTTTGAACTCAATCACTCATCATGTGCTATCCATTTTTTGAATTTAATCTGATGATTCATATGACCATGGAGCTAAGAATCATAATTGAAAAGTGCAGATAAAACAAGAAGCAAAGTACTAGACTGGCATAGGCGCATACGTATTGTTGATGGAATTGCTCGAGGGCTTCTTTATCTTCACCATGACTCTAGATTGAGGATTATCCATAGAGATCTCAAAACAAGTAATATTTTACTGGATAATAGTATGAATCCAAAAATTTCAGATTTTGGCTTGGCTAGGAAGTTTTGTGCAGATCAGACTGAGGACAAGACTAAAAGAGTGGTTGGAACATAGTATGTATTCCTAGACTCTGTTGGTCCTTGGTAATCTACTCCATGTTGCTTTTATGGTTTCTCATTTTTTTGCATTATTTTCCAGTGGTTATATGTCTCCAGAGTATGCCTTTGGTGGGCGTTTCTCTCCGAAATCAGACGTCTTCAGCTTTGGAGTGTTGGTTCTGGAGATTGTAACTGGGAAACGAAACAGGGGATTCTCAGGTCCAGATCAAGACCAAAGTCTCCTTGGACATGTAAGACTAAAGATATAATGATTTAATTTACTTTCTTGAACAAATATATAATCTTTTGTTTCAATATTTTTAGGCTTGGAGATTGTGGATGGAAGAGAGGCCATTAGAACTAATTGACAATGCATTAGGCGACTCTTATAATGCAGCTGAAGTGTTAAGATGCATCAATGTAGCTCTCTTATGTGTGCAACAACACCCGGAAGACAGACCAAACATGTCATTGGTGCTGCTCATGTTGTGCGGTGAGAGTACATTGCCTCACCCAAAGCAGCCTGGCTTTTTCTTGGAAAGGAATCTGCCTCCTGCAACTGATTCTGCATCAAGCAAGCAAGAATTGTGCTCACTGGGTGGATCTACCATTACAGCATTAGAGCCACGCTAGAAGCTCATATATGATAAAAATTCATAGAGGATTCCTAGGAATAAGTAAAACATTTAAACATTTCACCATAAATGGCAATGATTTTTTCATGATTTTTCTCATTTGGTGCTGGTAGTCAGTTTTTGCTGTCTATTGAAGTTCAACAGAAGTGGAATTCTTATTCTGACAGGTTTGCTACCTAGATTTTAACTTCTGGCACTTCCATCTTTCACTATAATTCAAGTTTCTCCCCACTGGTATGTTAAAATCTACCAGACACAAACCTTGAGGCCTAGCTCATGCATTCTGGAATTCCTCGTATATTAATTACACATGGAATATCAAATCGAATTGTAGATAATGCTGTGTGCTTAAAAACTGCATGGATTAGATGTGAAGTATTTTCCTAATCAAGATACCAGGGCACTTTTCCAATTGCTGTAAGAAACAAGAATAATGTCACCCTCTAGACAAGAGAGATTAAAAGAACATCAGCGTTTGAATGGTTAGTGTCAGCATCACCCCATAAATTTCTCAAAGCTCCATATTTCTAGTAGTTATGTTTGTTGGTTTTCCAAAAGACATTGTTTTTCAAACCACAAACATAACTGTTCTGTATGTTTCCAATTATTAACGTTATCTGTTGATAAAAATCAAAGAATAATTTGGCTAAATACTTAAATAAGCCCCTAGACTATATAAAAAAGTCAATTAGGCCTTTATCTTTTTATTTCATTCAAATAAGTCAATGAATTTTTATTTTGGGTCAGATAAGCCCTTTTCACTAATTATTGACTAACGAAAGTTAGTCAACTGTACACTAGGTAATTTTATACCACGTCATTTGCCACATGGCAAGTTGATGTATCATTTTGATTATGTCAGTGCCACCTGGCATTAAAACTTGCTGATTAGGAATTAGATTTTCCTATTTTACCCATTCAAATGTCTAAAAATAATTAGGTTGGGGATTTGAAAAAAAAATTAAAGAAAAAACCTAATTGCTTCAAATTAAGTCGTGATTATTCTTAACATAAGGTTTTTAACCAAAAAAAGCAATTGGATT